CTTAAGGGATGATTTGTCATGGCAACGCTGCCCCCCGAAAAGGCAAAAGAATACAGACGCACACAAAACGAAGATCCATAGAGCGACATCTCCAGACCTCCAGGGGGCCAGTACGTAATAGCCTCCTTAGGGAGCGGTCTCCGCCCTATGACAAAGGCCCCCCCCCCCTATTTCCCGCAGAAAAGCGCGCCCCAGCCTTGGCAATGGCGGATGGGCAGCCACCCAGCAAAACAGCGTCTGGGGCCGTGGGCACTTCCAGTTCGTGATGGGGGCTTGAGGGCTCAGTACCGGAAAATCTGTCGCTGCAAAAGAAGCTGCACGGCTCGATCCGTGATGGCGCAAGACCAAAAGCATGACACCCTTGAAGACTATATGTAAGAATCTCTCGCAATGCGAGCTATGCCCTGGAGCTATGGGGCGGCGCGCAGCCTCCCCAGATTGTGCTTGCATTCGCACACTTACGACCTCCTCTGGGGTTTGAAGGGAGACGTTCGCTGGCACATTCCCCAAACAGCGCCTCGAAAAGAGGGTGCGAGCATGACGTCACTGGCGCAAAGACCAGGTTCGGGTCCGTATGGAAGGTGACTCATGCCTCGGATTCGGGAGTTTCCAGGTGGCTGCATGTATACTCAGGCGTATAAGAGGGGGGCATCGAAGGGGGCACGAAGGGATATGTAGCTGGCGGAAACTACCCAACATATGGGCCTACACTGCTCAAGTTCGCAACCCATGCATCCGGGCTCTGTCAGCCCGAACCCAATCCAACCTTCGGAGGACGTCGCCAGGCTGCGTTGCAGAACGTCGAACATGTAATCGAGATCCGCCAAGCCCGATTCCTTTCACAATTCCGAAGCTCCACCACAAATACTCTATTCTTAAACCTACCGATCGTCGACCCTTAAAAGGGTGGCGCAGCACCTCAAAGCTCAACTGAGACAAACGATCCGAGCACACTGGACTTGCTGTGTTGTGGAATTCCCATCTAACGTAACCTTCTGACATGTGAGGTCCCTCCTCCCCCTCACCCAACGCCAAAGCCCAAACTCACACCCCATTCCTTCAGACTGCCCCTCTGTGTAGATACATCCTACAAGTATCCACCGGATAAGAGCCATTAGGAATCCGGGAAGGGGCGCCTGACGTAAGGGTTGATGGGCTCGGGGGTGTAGACAGGCCTTGTATACTGAGCTACTGAGCTTGGTACACGAGGGGGGGGGGGGGGCTCGATGTCAAGATTTCGACCTCGTTGAACGCGAAACCCCAACACAGCCTCAATGTGTCTATCCCCAACCTTGACCCCTCTCGAGACAGGACCTGAGATGTTCGTGACTTGCATGACTGTGGGCTGGAGATTTCCTGCCGCGGGAGTAGGCGTAGGCTTCAGGGGACTTAGCCTCGGGGTAAGCAAGCTGTGACTTCTTGCATTCTTGAAGGTGCGACTTGTCTTTTCTGACGTCTAAGAAAGCTCCAAAAGCTCCAGGGCTTTACATTGGAGTGCAGTGCCTTTTCTCCAGTGAGGCTGGAAAGGGGGAAATTCTTGGCTTCGTAGGCTCGGGGCTGAAGATCCAATGAAATACCGAATTCTTCCTGGGTTTTCGGGTTTAGGGTAAGGTTCAGGGGCATGCAAATCATGTAGACACGTGCGTGTGCATACAGAGTTTGGCCGCTCGCAGCACTCAGGGAATTAGCCGCTGGGTTCCGGAGAGACCCGTTGCAAAGTACGATGAAAGAACTCATTTCCTCACTCTCACCACCCTCCGCTGGTCATATCAGGCTGTTTGAGCATCAGCTCCCCGAAAGCTGATGCCTTCTTCCTCCAACCCCTCAAGGGTCATCTGCCCTGAAAGCACCCCACAAACTCAATCAGGCTAGATCCCAAGCGCGCGACCCTCACGGATCCTAGGCATTCAAAGCCTCAAAGCCTCGACGCTGCCCAGAACCTCAAGTCCCAAGAGACGCGAAGTTACTCGATCAAATTCGAAGCAACATTTGGCAAAACCCTAAATCCGAAAGGAGATGGAGAGAGCCGAAATTGGGGGGGGGGGGGAGTACCTGATTGGGGTCCTCATTGTACGGGGAATCCTGATTGGGGTCCTCATTGTACGGGGAATCCTACCTTTTTTGGGGGTCCAGATTTGGGGTCCCTCGAATTATCGGAAGCTCCCAAATCCTGCTCGGGGGGAGATGGTGGCTGCAGTCTGTGAGAGGGCATCGCGTGGCACAAGGCAGTTCTACTGTTTGCACATGCGGGCTTTTCGGGGCTAAAGATCTATGAGAGAGAGAGATACTCCTACAGTAGTACATTGCTATGCTATGACAGTTTTGTAATGCTATCTGGCTATATGACTACATGACTACATGACCATACTACTATGTTGCTTTTTAGCACCATACTAGCCTACTACTGATTCTTGCAATGAGAGTTGGGCTGTAAGAGACATGCTTGCTAGGAAGTTAAACAGTTAAACTTGGGGTTTAGGAACTCGCCGACACCCTGTAGCCGCACGGCAGCATCGGCAAGAGTTGATCTTCACATCCTTGAACCCCCAAGGAGCCCTGTACAAACACACTCACGCATCTCACAGAAACAAATAGGCTGACCTATAGGCTTTTGGTGGTTTGCGTTTACTCGGCTTGTCTGAAAGTGTGCCGAAGCATTTACTGGCACCTTAATGGGCCAACGGGGCCCAGCGAGCTCCTGCAGTGACATGTTGACATGAAACGCGATGGGTCTAGGAATGTCTAGGAGGCGTAACAGAAACGCCTCCGGGCCGTATTCGGGTAGCGGCTTGCGGCTGTAGCTCCCACAAGCTTCGCCTAAGCCCGACATCCGGAAGCAATCGTGAATGGTCACGCTCGACCCTTTGTTTGTTCCCGCGCTGCGTCCATCGAGAGGTGACCCTTTCTTTTAAAGGATGGGACCTGCAGTGTGCCAGCAGCAGGTGAGAAATCGGTACCTCCGGTTACTAATCTTGCTTCCTCAGCTACGCTCTCCCGCAAGGTCCGGCTGCACCTCAACTTCAAGAAGCCCCCCCTGCAACTTTGTTCTCCTCAGCACTCGCCCCATGAAGTCGCTTGCGCTCAACCGTCGGCAGAAGAAGGGCCACAGCGAGGGAAGATTCCAGCTACAGCACGGTGTGGATACTATCTTCACATCTTAAGGGCCGGCTTGTGGAGGTCCTCTTAAAAACTTCTCCTTCAGTGAATTCGTCAGACTTCTATCCATCCATTGTGCTCTGATTGGCAGAGCTAGTGCTGTATCTCAATAGGAAGCGGATTCTAGGATGCTACTCTACATCCGACAAGCAAGCCATTCTCAACATCTACATCACCACATAACTGTTGAGGTCAAGTCACTTGTAGATGAAGGCCGCAGGAGCTGGCAGCAGGCATCCCGGGCTAGAATCACCGTGCTTCTTTCAGACTCGGAGTGGCAAAATGCTCCAGCTCAAAGGATGCCTGAATCCCTTTCCAGGCTGTCAATCATGTAGTCTGAAAGTGTCTTGAAGAGCTCTCGTTAGTTCCCGGAGCCGTTCCACTTTCTAGACTTGGGGTTGAAAGCACCGGCAGGTGATACGGTTGGGGTCTAACGCAGAGCTCTGGAGGCATCTGGGCCGTGACTTAAGCCTTTCGGTGCCGTGTTCCAAGTGTCAGACACGGTTTCCTGCCATGCCCAGCTCCAGATCCGTGGCAGCTGGGCATCGAGTTTTCTTGGCCACCCTAGCTGACCACAATCGGATGCACTGCAGGGCACCAGCCGGCGAAAAGCTTCACGGCGCCACTACATCGGCAGCATGGAATTTATGCGAAGTTTTTAGGGTGTCGACCCTCACACCTCACACGTGCAGGCAAGGGTGTCGGGCAAAGTTTCAATCGCCGAGAACGGCAAACACGATTTGCAACGCCCAACCCAAGACCGAGGAGAATGGTACGAGAGGGAAGAATCCTTAACCCCTAACCCTGCACCGTGATGGGACCCCACTCCGCGAAACCCAAACCGATAAACCCCCCCAAACATGCAAACAACCCCTGAACCCTGGACCAGCGCCTTGACGCGTGCCGCCGGGCAGCCGCAACCCTGCGGAAGCCCGCCGCAAGGTGGCAGCCATGGCGGGAAATGGGGGGGCGGGAAGCCCTAAACCCTGAGCAGCAAAGCCACCCTAAGCCCGTGAACCGCTTGCCACAAACCCTGAACCCAACCTTTTCTTCTTGGTTCTGTCTGGTCTGCTGCGCATGTGGGCTCTGATCTGCTTGTGGATCATGTCTGCTTCGCGAATCTTCTTTTGAAGGCATGCTGTTTCTTGTGATAGAAAAGGATGCGCTAGCGTGCCCAAGGGCTAACAGCTGCTGTTATATAGCATGTTTGCTGATCCGCTTCGGCGATCCGGGTGGTCCTCCTGATTCGAACTGAGCAGATCTGGTTCGCAAGGCCAGATGGGCAGCCTGGCCACCCCCCTACTCCGTCACGAGGATATCCTGGTTCATTTGGTCGACTTTGCACGTTTTTGAACCTCAAAAGCTGCAGCATAGATTCATAAATTGAAAGGCACGAAAAGCAGAAGCTTCTAGCTCTCTTGATGTCATCTTTTTGATCAGAGACATCCCTAGCAAGAACAGCACGCGCAACTGCATGGTTGAGCAGTGCACCAACTCCTTACTGTGAGGGGGGCGCTTCGACGTTGGCTTTTACAAGCTGCCGCAAGAAGTCTCGACAAAATTAGCGTTTGCTAATGTTGGCTATCTATTCAAAACCTGTCGTCGTGTCGTTGGAAGTCATGGTTTCACCATTCTTCCTGCGCGCGGCAGTCGTTCGATGCCGCAGAAATGCCGTTTAAAGCCAAAGGCCCCGGGATGGGGCCGCAGAGGCTCCAAAACATCGGGGGCCCTTGTAAGGGTCTCTGCTTGCGTACTGCAACTCCACTCCTACTTCTGAGGGCGGCGCGAAGGCTTGACCCGAAGCAAGTCACCAGAAGCCATGCCAATCTCCAGCAATGCCCGCACTAGATGGGCAGTTGAACCGGCACTGGCTTGTCCCTCTTCTCCACCTTCTCCACGGCTTCTGGTTGGGAAGGGCCTTTGCTCGGAACTTCTTCATCATTTTGAACATTCGGTTCTAGATCTTTGCTGTCGTTACTGTCGTTCTGAACCTCCTCAATTTCGGATTCGGCACGCATGCTGGATCCGCCCCTCACCCTGTGGACTCCTCGTTTGGCCAAGCGCAGCCCAACTGCAATGAGCAGGAAGACAGTGAAGAGAATACAGACTCCTCCCATGTCTAAGGCCGTAAGTTGGCCCTCCTCTACTTCTGCCACTTCCTCCAGGCATGTGTCGATCTTCTTGTATCGGAACAGCTCATATGCAGCAGCAAACTTGCCTTGGTACACCAGTTGCAAGGTGTAGAAGCTGAGGGCATTCACCAAGTCCGCCCGAACTGCGAAGCCAACATAGACAGTGAAGATGGGATCACCGACGAGATGGAAGCCATTGGCACACATCGCTTCCTGGAAGTCGGATCGCGCACGGACATCATGCTCAGGAACAACAGCAGCTTGGCAGTCACCATTTGCCAAGCCTCCAAACAGATCCCCTGAGTTGGGGAATGTGACCACGTCCATGGTAGGGTGCTGGTTACGTACCAAGTTCAACTGCTGCTGGATGATGCAGACCTTCTGGCAGATGTCGGATGGAGGGTCGCAATCCTTGACGCCTGTAATACCGGTTGTCTGCTGTGCACTCACCACCAGCAGCTGGGCCAGGTTGGCCGTGTAGGTCGCAACCATGACCATCGTGAAAACTGCGAAGCCGACGCGAATGGCACTGCCGGCCCGCGTCCTCGTGTCGTCAATCTTGGCACCCCCGAGGTCACCACCCGCAAAGAAGGCCAAAGTCCCATATTGCAGCCCTTCGCAGATCTTCTTGAGGCCTGCCAGTGCTTTGCGGGGATGCAGCATGCTGGAGCTGCAGCAGCTACAGGTCCCATCCTCCTCCTCCACCCAGTAGAAGAAGATTCCAGCAGTGAAGACCAGGCTGGCGACCAAGAGCCAAAGAATGGGAGAGAAGGGCTTCAAGAAGCTGAACCAAACAGACTCATATCCCAAAGCGGGATCCCAGCGGTTGTCCGCCACCTCTTTTCGGACCATCAGCTTCATGTTCCCCGCAAGGATTGGGCTGGTAAAGGTGGCCATCTGTCGCCTTGTGTCCGTCTCCATGACAACCGAGATGCAGAAGTCAATCAGCTGCATCTGGACATCGTGGACACATGCATCCCAGGGGGAAGCAAAGAGGCTCAAGGATGCTTCGGAAACAGTCGCCTGGACAGTTTGAAACCCCGCCTCGACGGAGAGCTCTTGGAAGAAGCTCGCGACTGATCCGGTCCATCCGTCGTCCTGCTCGTAGTGCCATGGCCGGCTACTGGCCGGATACGCAAAGCGGAATGTCTGGCCAGTCAGCTGCGTGCGAATCTGTGTCACAAAGTCCTCCTGGCTGGCTGAGTCGCCACAAGTCAGGTATGAGTACTGCAAGCCAAGCTGAGGAAAGTACGAGGTCGGGTAGCTGGCGGTGGAGCAGTTCGAAGGATCCACGTAGCAATAGGACTGCTGACACTCGCCTGCAGAGCTGCAGAGACCCGACAAGCCAGCAAGCTTGGCATCCCAAGCCGCGCAGTACGACCCGAAGGTCTCTGAGTGGTTGTAGACCAACAAGCCCTTGGAGGTTGGGACCTGTAGAACGCCGAAGTTGCTCCAATAAGTGCTTGACAAAAAATTCACCTCTACGCATGGGCAGCCGGGGAGGCCGAATGCTTGGCACTCGACCTGCGCAGGCTGCAAAAGCAGACATAGCGCACCCACGAAGAAGTGGGATTTCATGCCTGCCACGCGCCGGCTACGTCGTCAAGGCTGGGATACTTGAGCAAACTCGCATCATCCAAATCGGCCAGGCTCACAAAGGCAACAACGCACACGCACCCACCCGCCCACCCACGCACACTTCTGAGTACCTACAGCAGGCGGGCCGAAGCAATGTGGCATTCACGTTAATCGCTTCAGAGTCCTTGATGTTCCCTGATTGCAATTACATCTCTGGCAAAGGTGCCTTCGCCAAGCAATCCCAGGAAACTGCATGGAGGTAGATGCTTAACGTGATGAGTCTAGGAGGCACGAGGCACCTCTCCAGTGCCTTTAGCTCTTTGTAGCTCACTCCCACAAACTTCGCCAAAGCTCCACATCTTTTGCAAACAGTGTGCTTTGGCTGAGCTCGATCTTTACTCTGCCTCCGCTTCGATTGAGGTGCGACCTTCCAGAAGATGCAGCCTGTCAGTATGCCACGTTCGAGCAGTTTAGGAGACACGTGGCTTGTTGACGTTGGGCCCCAGAAATTCGAGAATTGAAGGAATCCTCTGAATCGTTTCGTTCCAAAAAAGAAAAGAAGGAGAAGTAAGCTCAGTAAGCAAGCCAAAACACATCCCACATGAGCCGCCACTTTCGGGGCCCACCATAAGGATGTCATAGGAGCCGCACTTCTTCTGCGGAGACTTCCACGCTTTCACCACGCCGCAAGGCTGCGACCTGCTTCCCCAACTCCTGGAGAGCGACGAAGAAAACAACCAACACGCAACAAAGAATGCTCATTTATTCAACTTTAGCTGGTAACTTGGTGACATGCTGCAACGTTGCCTCAAGGACCTCCTTAAAAAAACACACACACACACACACACACACACACACACCATATCTACATCACAGCCGCATCTTCCGTGCCATTCCCGCGCCTGCTGCAGCCGCAGTGCCAAGGCTTCCCGCGAGTCCGGGCGCAGGAGCTGCGTGGCCGTCAGCATGACGGGTGCCTCGGAGAAGGTCGCTCAGCAAGACACGGGAAGCCAGCAAGCCACGCCTAAAACTCCTACCTATCAAGCTCATGGATCTTCAAACTTCCTTGGGGGCCGCCGGAGATGAGTCACTTGGCCATTGAGGAGTCAGAATCCCCAGCCCGAAGGAGCAGCTGATGGAGACATCTTGCAAGTGTCGGCGTCTTAGAAGAACCTCTGAGTCAAAGTGCACGAAACAACAGAAGCAAGCAGAACGTCCGCTCCCCCTACGCCCCCTGAAACCCTAACCCTAACCCAACATGCTTTTGAAAGCCTTTTTGAACCTGGAAGCCAGGATTCAAAAGCCTACACCCTGAACCCTAAACCTGAAACCCTTATCCCTAAGCCCTCCAAGGAGGGTGCCAGGAGTGCCAGGCGAGTCAGGAGGACACATCGGTGGGCAAAGCCCACCGCGGCCAGCGTGAGGCCTGGGCACCCAGAACTCCTGAAGCTCTCACATTGCTAGAAGCTCCTTTCTTTCGAGTTTGGGTCTGATATTGGGTAAGTTTTGCTACGAGGACCTGCTTGAATGCACTTGAACGCCACCTCTGTCACCACTAACTCGGGGTCTGCAGCTGGCTTGGGACTCGCGACGCTGGTTCTCTGCACTACCGTACTGCGGTGCTGGCTGCTGCTTCTGGCGGTCTGCTTCTGCGAACGGCACAAGCCTGACCTTACAAGGAAAGCTGGCCGAGGCTCAACAGAAGCTGAAGCTCTGGAGGGTATTCACCTGCACCCACAGGTCCCAATGGTCCCAGCTTCTGCCCCGCCCCCCCGACACGCATCACGCCACACTGCTCTAAAAACAAATAAATATATATATATATATATATGTATATATATAATACTTTATAAAGTATATCATACAATATTTTATCCGTATACAAACTTATATGTACATATATACATGTGTGCCAAGAACGACCGGCCCCCACCTGGGGCTGCACGAAAGGGCGCGCGCTGCCCACGATCATGGCCATGCCGAAGGTGATGGCCACAGACAGCCAGAGCCCGTCTTTCGCGGAGACCACCTCGGATTCGCACGCTGAAAGGGTTTATGGTTCATATATACCGTATATACCTTACTAGGAATGATAGTAGTGTAGTATAGGGTATATGACTCTAATTCTCGGGATCATTTGGTCCCCAAAAACACTCCACGTCACTCCACGCATCGATCCCACCTTCATCCGACAGCAAAATGCCCTAGCAGTCCCAACATTTCAAATTCAAGTGAGCAGCTGGCACCAAGCAGGCGGAGGCGAGCTTCAAGGCAACTTCCATCCACACTCCATCGCAGTAGGCCTCACAAACTTCATCTCCACAGGGTGGCTCCTACATGGGTTGCCTTGCTTACGGCTATCTGCAGCGGCTCCGTTTGTCTGAGCGTAGAGTTGCAGCACAAGGCTTCTCATAGCAGTGCTCTGCGAACTACGTCTGCTTTGACAAGGTGTTGAACTCTTGAACTGCAACAGAGCAGCGTACTTGCAAAGCAGCTGCTTTGCACCGATCAGCATTCCTTCGATGACCCGCAAGGACGCTGTGTCACTTGCACGAAGCTTTCCAACAAGGCGCCTAAGACTTACAGCGAGGACTGTCTAGAGGATGACTGCGACAACCCATAAGGACGTTGAGCATTCTGCCAAAAAAATCAGCAATTCTCAGGGGGCCAAGGCGCGGTCAGAGTCGATCTCCTCCAAGATGCTGCGCTCCGTGAGCATTTGCATCATGTAGTTGCGATCCAGTACCGTGTCTTCCATCGCATTGCTCTCCATGATGAGGCTCTCGGCCTATGGGTCGAGACCCCCTTTTGGGGGGGCTCTCAGAGGGTCTGTTGCAGAAGCAGTTGCAGAGAGCGCACATTTGAGTCCGTTTTTCAATTGTGAGGCCAAGGGGCTGAGAATCCACCACCTTTCTCTCCATCCCTGCCGTGCGGGGTCACGATCCTGAGCTCTCAGCGCGCGACCGTTTCTGACCGGAGAGTTGCTTTTTGCGCGAAAAAGATGTCGCACGGACGTCCACGCGCGGCCCTCAATAGCCCCCAAATAACCCCTACAAGGTCCCCTGGCTCCCTCCGTTAATCCCCTTGAGTTTGGGTATATATATATATATGTATAACTAGGGCCTTCCCTCATTCCCCAGGGGATTTCGGTTCTGCTTGGCTCCGAGAAACACCGCGTCGGGGTGAAGCTGCACCAGGGCTTTGCCGGGCCTCTGCACGGCCAGCTGGGCCGCGGCGGCGGCCAGCAAGCGCCTGGCCATCAGCCCCTCCTGCAGGGCTATGTCTGTGAGGATATACATATAATATATATATATATATGTATAACACAAATAAACATATGTATATATAGGTATATAAACATATTTCACATAAGATTCAGACATATGCCCTAAACTGACCTTTGCTCCTAAAACCTAAACCATATTCTTGAACATCCTTCGTATACTACAGTACCTCAACTCGAATTCAAAAAAAAAACCTAGGCCAACCAGAATGTTCCGAAAAAAATGAGCTTCCCTCCACACTACAGCATGAAATATTTGCTGACCTAAAGGTTAACCCACTTCCCTAAACATGAGATACTTTTCTAAAGAGCTTCCTTAAACATTGTAAGGCTCACTGACTTTGTGAGTTGGATTGGATCCCCCAAAACCCATCGTAAGGAACGGTGTGTTCTGGGGATGGGCGGTGGGGGGAGGTGAAGGCTTGATTCATTTGATTCAGTTTGATTTAGTTTTGAATCACGCCGGGATCCAAGATTTAAGACTCAAGATGCCCAAGAATGCCCGGAAAAAGTCTTCTTGAATCTTGGATCCCTGCTGAATCCCCGGCTTGTGTGTCTGTTTCTTTCTGAAGGACAAACAAAGGATAGCCTATCGACGAAGAAAACCAAAACTCTCCGTCCTTGAAGCACTCAGTCTTTACACAAGGAGTGAGCTCCAAGCGGATGCTGCCATGCTCGCTGTCGGCGCTCACGACGAAGAAGGTCTTGCACTGCCTTCGCTGTATTCTTGGGCACCTCCCCTAGTCTGGAACCCGGGTTGCACTGCTGCACCCCTCTTCCCTTCCCTGAAAAAAAACCGCGAGGTCTGCTTTCCGAGCGGCCGCATGGCCCGGCGCTGCTTGAAGAAGAGGAATGCCAGGAAGCAGGGCACGGCTCCGCCGTAGATGGCGGCGGTGCTCCAGCCGATTCGGTCCACCTCCAAGTGCATCCAAGCGGAGAGGGCAACATAGACTGCAAAGGTCTTCAAAAGACTGAGGATTTCGAGGTTTGAGAGGGGTCTATCTATAGCGTGTTTCACACATAGCGGACTGGGGGGCCCCACCCAGATGGCCGTGGCGGCGTCCTTGGAACACCCAAGCCACGGGAAGAGCGGCCGGAAGGCCAAGTCGTCTGGGATCCGGGTTCCTCAAGGTGCGGAAGTTCAAAAAGTGGTACAGAGCATAGAGTCAGCTTCAATGGGCTCCTTCAAGCAAACCCATAGCTCACTGCTGGATGGCACACTCCTACGACTGGCGACCGTTGCGCCTTCGCCGTCGGTGCGCTGGCAGCCCAGCAGCTGCACGGCGCCGGAGGCGCCGCCCACGAAGAGGACCGTCAGGGCTCGCAAGGCCAAGCGGATCCCTCGGCTTCTCGGCTTCTCAGTCTGGCATTTTCGGTCTTGTGCTCTCGTATTGCCATGCTCCCCCCCGCTTTTTGTGCCTAAGGGGCAGGGGCTGTTCAGGAGTTCAAGAGCCGAGGAGCCGCGTCCACGGCTCCAGAGCTCCAGCAAAGCACAGGCGCCCAGCACCAAGAGGGGAAGCAGGGGCGTCGCGAGGGCGAAGGCAGCCCGCACAGTCGCCCCATCGAAGCGGCACTGGAGGTCCAGGAAACTTTGCAGCTCCGAGCCCGTGAGCTGGAGGACTTCAACGTAGGACAGCAGCGGGTCGCCTCAGAATTGCACAAAAGTGCCGCGGCAGAAGAAGCGGGTAGATTGTGGTAGTATAGATTGTTGGCCAGGCTTACGCCCGGTATTTTCCTGATTTAACACGCAGCTCGACAAGTCGCGATCTACGTTGGCCTCCTCTGCAGGGGCGTCCGCGTCCGTGACGTTGGCCGCAAGCACTTCCTGCACCACCTCAGCTCCAGCATGCTCTGCGCAAATCACACTGCAGAGGGACCCCGCTGAACTGACTGCAGCTCAGGCGCTTCTTGCGCCTGGCTGGCGCTCACCAGGCGCCTCGAAGAGTCTAACTAAAAGGCATCAAGATCTAGAGATTCCCTTGCCCTTCGAGTCGACCATGGCCATAGTAACTGCCACAGTATGGTGTCAGCTTTGGCCGAGGCGCGCGAGCACGGCCCAGAGCTGCGCCAGCTGCAGCAGCACGGCCGCCTGCGACAAGAGGAGCTGCGCCGCGCACTCCACGCCCAAGCCGGGCTTGGGGGCATAGCTCCTGCAGGGCTTTGATGAGCTTAATCTGAAGAATGTCGGATCCTGTCCCTTGTGACCTTGTGCTCCCACATCCGAGCGGGCAGGCTAAGGAGGGGAGGTTGAGCGCGCTACCCCAGCAGCTCTAGCAGCTTCCAGCACGCTTGCTGCGCGCCTCAGAAGGCCGCCTGCTGCCACGCAGGCGGCCACCAGCGCCAAGGTTCCCAGCGAGGCCGCCCCGACCAAGAACATCGACTGCCTTAAAGCAAGAAGGAGAAAAAACAACTTCGGAAGTACATTTGAGGCAAAGCCACCATGGCCATGAGCCTCGAACTTCTCAACTTGCTCCCAAAGTCCCTCTCAGTTAGCCAGGGTGCTGGCGCAGGCTTTGGCATTCGCCACACTCATGTCCGGAAGAGCGGTAGCCAGGCGCACACTGGATGCACAGAGGGCCGGAGTATCCTTGTGATGCACAACTGATGAGCAACTTCTTGTAGTTGGGAAGGCTCCCCGGCCCTACATATCCTGTACATTCAGTGTCAGATTGAACTCAAAGGTGATCGTCATGCAGTTCTGACGCGGGCGCAGAAATAGTATATGCCGTATAATATACTATTGACGATAGACGTTTGGTCATCTCGTTCCGGCGACCGGTGTCCCATAGCGCCCTATTTAAGTAGAAAAAAAGACTCAGCATGAGGTCCACTGACACATACTGACAGTTTCAAGACAAGGATCCAGCTGCACAGCCCGTATGGGTGCAGCGCTCGGCGTCCAAGCAGCGGAACACCTCTTAACTGGATTCCACTGCAGATGCTACGCATAGCTCTACGGATATCTACGGATGCTTGTGGAGGGTTTGAGGAGGGCTGCGCTCTTCTGCATCACCCTTTGCCTTTTCGGAGCCGGGGAGGCGAGCATGGCCGAGATCCACTTGGGCAAGCTGCGCGACGCTGCCCTCCTCCTCGCACACGAGGTGCAACTTGCCACAGGGGGCACACTGGCTCCCGAGCAGGGCCGTGTGCTTCTCGCAGCGACAGCTCCGGTTCCCAGGATCTCCCCTCGGGTTTCCAAAGCTGCATTCGCAGGCCGTCAGCGCTGTGGATCCTTTGGCGGAGGTGCTGTTAGGAGGACACATCTCGCACTCCAGCTGCCCCTTGCGGTCTGCGAAGGAGTTGGCGGCGCAGGCCTCCGGGTCCCCACCCCCCCCCCCCGGCTTCGTGGGCTTTTCCTTCTGGGAATTACATCACTGCAGACGTTTCAGGACGAGCGCTCTCTAGCTGGACTCTACGAATGCGCTCATCTCTCACATGCTGCAGCATGCGGCACCTGCAAACTATATACCTGTGCTGGGGCATTGGCCTCGCAGCTGGCGCCCCGGCCAGAATAGCCCTTCTGACAGGTGCACATGTCCTCCGGCAAGAAGAGCTCCGGGGTGACGCGCAGGGTAGGGACCACGAAGTTGGTGCAGGTGTAGCCCTCCGCGTGCCTGTGGCCGAACTTGATTCCGCTGTTTTTGAGACCCGGAAAACTTGAGAACACCCCAAGAAAACTCACACTTGATGGATGCTCGTCTTTTCATCAAAAAAGCTCTTCTGCGCAAAAACATGCGAGGTGCCTGGAGTCCTGCAGCTTCAGACTTTCGTTGAGCTGGGGCATCTCCGAGTGGAGGTCTTTTGGGTTTGCGAGGCGCGTGCTTTCCAGGTTCACCTCGGTGTTGTTGAGCACCGCGTGGGTGAGCACGCCGGAACGGACGGCCAGCGGCCCCATGTTGTTGCTGAGATGGAGCTCCTTCAGGCCTGCCGGAATGCTTCGGATGGAGCTGAGGTTGTTGTCGGCCAAGTCGAGGGTCCTCAGCGTCTCTCCCAGGTAGCTGGACCACCCTTCCTTCAAGCTGCCGTCCAGCTTCACCGTCAAGGCCGACAGGTCCGGTACCTCGCCACGGAGGCCGCTGCGCGCGGCGGCCAGGCTCTCCAAGGGTGTCGCTGCCAGGGGCAGCAAGAGATCCTCCACAGTGGCATTCAAAGGACAGCCGCTGACCTCGGGCTGACGCTCTTACAAGTGACCTTATCGACATCTCGACCCACCCTTGCGCGATTCTAACATGTCATGGTTAGATGGCGAAGCGGCGTTCAATCGTTTGAGGGCCGGCAGCAACCTGGGCTCCGTGGAGACCTGGACTGTGGTGAGCGGCCGAAGGCCCACTCGGCTGTCCTCGACACCGGAAGCACAGAGAAGCACACTTTGAAGCACGCTTTGAAGCGCGAAGCAACGTGAAGCCACCGAGCTCCGGACGGCGAGGTCCAGTTCGTGCAGGTTCTTGCAGCAGCCCAACCAGTCGGAGGACACCCAACCTTTCACATGGGTGCCGGACAAGGATGCAGTATTGAGCTTGATGAGCTTGATCAGGGTCGACAAATCACCACCGACAGTTGTAGCACGGAGGTCCAAGGTGTTGAGATTTTGCAGCGAGCCCAGAACATTGAGGTCCCCTGAGAGGTCCGTCTCATGCAGATCCAGAACTTTAAGTTTCTGAAGATGCTCCAGCGCCGCAAGCGTGCCGAAGACCCCAGTCTGATGGAGCGTCAAGTACTCCAGCTCTTGGAGATCTCGCAAGGGAGCCAGCTCCCCCTTGACTTGCGTTTCATGGAGGGACAGGCGTGTGAGTTTTGTCAAGTTTGCCAGGGGAGCCAGGTCGCCCGAGACCCCGGTTCTGTAGAGACTCAAGCGCGCGAGATCTTCGAGATGACGCAATGGAGTCAGGTCACCGGACAGCTGGGTCCCGTGGAGGCTGAGAAGCTGGAGTTGCTTCAGCTCTTTGAGGGGCCTCAACGAGCCGGAGACCTTCGTCACGCTGAGCTCCAGCACCCTAAGCTTCGCGAGCCCTTGCAAGGGAGCCAGCGGGCCCGAGACCTGTGTCTCCTGCAGCTTGAGCTCCTCGAGCTGCACCATGCTCTCAAACGGAGCCAGCTCCCCGGAGACTTGCGTGTACTGCAAGGCCACCTTTCTCAATTCTTCGAGATTCTCCAGCAAGGAGAGGTCGCCGGTGACCTGGCTGTGCCCCAAGCCCAAGATGCGGAGTCGAATGTGGCCCCGAAGTGCCAGTAGTTTTCCCGAAACCTGTGTTTGTCCCAGATCCAAGAACTCCAAGCCGGTCTTGTTGGCAAGGAAGTCCAGGTTGCCCGAGACGTGGCTATTCGCAAGGTCCAGAAAACGGAGGAAGCGCATCCCTTGCAAGGCGCCCAGCTTCCCTGTGACCTGGCTGTCGTGCAGATCGAGGACCTCGAGGTTCGCGGAGCTGAGGGCAGAGATATCACCTTTGAGCCCACGGAGAGGCAACCGCAAGTTCCGGAGTTGAGGCATCTTTGAGAAAACGGACAAATCGCCATCATAGATGCCTCGCCGCGTCTGGGCATATGCGGTGGCCATGACACCTTGAAGCCCCGTAGCGTCGAGGTCCAGGTCACGAAGATGTCTGAGGTGTTGCAAGGCCTCCAGATCCCCTCTCACCTGCGTCCCTGCAAGCTCGAGCTTCTTCAAGGAGGTCAGCTTCGAGACTCCCGCGAGCTTGCCTTCAACACCTTTGGCGTTCTTCAGACTCAAGGCCTCCAGCAGGGTTGCGTTCTCTAAAGCTTCCAAGGGTCCATCGACCTCTGTGTCAGAGAGGTTCAGCTGCCGAAGTTGCGAGAGATGGCTCAACTCCGAAAGGTTTCCCACAACCGAGAGGGAGGCGAGGTCGAGCTGCACGAGGCTGGTTAGGTTCGCCAAGTCGCCCAGGCTGGCAACGGCAGCCCTAAACCACCTCTTCCCCCCTCGGCCACGCAGCTTCAAGGTGCGGAGGCCGCGCAACCGTCCCACGGCCGGGAAGCTCTGGGGGCCCAGCTTCACGTCCTCTTGTGCAATGCCGACCACGCAACCATCGCGGCAGTGGATGCCGGGCCAGGAGCAAGCAGGGCCCTCCCCAAGGATGCCAAGCGCCTCCAGAGCCCTGTCTAAGTCCTCATTGCCCTCGTCAACACCTCGGCTCACAGCTTATCAATCCCCCCAAAGGCGCTTTACATACTGCAGGAGCATCAAACAATGGCAGCAAATCTTCTTATTTCGTTTGCTTCCACCTGCCATCCCCCCCAAAAAAAGAGCAAGAAGTCGAGGTGCAGTTCCAGGATTCTCCGGAACGCCCGGTCTCTGCAAGGCTGCCCAACGTGGCCTTGGCGCCACCAATGCGGCAACAAACGTGGCAACAAAAGAGGAGAATCAAAGACTCTGAAGAGCCTGATCCTCCTACTACTACTACTACTACTACTACTATTACTACTACTACTACTACTACTACTACTACTACTACTACTACTACTACTACTACTACTACTACTAAACATTGGTTCCGCATTCGACGCTATGTTTTTCTTCACTACTGCAGCACTTTCTGTTCAGTTTAGGAGCCGAAAACACTGTTATTTACAGTGCTTCCAATGCTTGACTGCTTTGCCTCTGCCCGCTCTTGGCTCTTGTATATTTTGGCGCCGTCGCGTCGTTGCTCTTGTCTCGGTCTTTCTGAATCTTGCTCTTCCTGCTCTGGTGCTTTGGTGCCTTCCCCCCCCCCCCCCCCCCCCCCCCGCCCCCAAACCCCCCCGCCCCCCCCCCCCGCTCTGGTCGGCCAGTGGCGTGCCAGGCAACAGCCCCCTTGGATTTATGTGTGAATATATATATATATATATATATTCATACAAGGAAATACATATATATATATATATATACATAAATAAATAAATATCAAACGAAAAAAATATATATATATATATATATATATATATATATGCATATGCTCACCCCCCCCCCCCCCCCAATGATCCACGTTACTGCTTGGAAACAGATGGATCTTGGGAGGAGCGGGGGCTATGAGCTAGCGACGCAAACGCCGACAGGGCCGATAGAAACCTATATCATTTCAAGTCATGAAGGCCATTTAAAACAACAAGGTCTATGGCTCCAGCAGCCCTGTAGATCCTGAAATTTAGGGTTTTTTTTGAAAATTCGAGCCTGCTCGAGTTTCCGGGACCTGGAGCTTCAAGAGAATCGAGCCGGCTCGAATGTCACAGAAAAATGCTGAAACCATGGCTGTGGGACCCCAAGGCCTCAGAGATAACCGAATTTAGGGTTTTTTGGAAAATTCGAGCCTGCTCGAGTTTTCACGACCTCTGGTGCTTCATGAATTTTCGGAAAATTCGAGCCGGCTCGAATTTTCTAAGGAAAATGAAACCATTGTTGTGGAGCACCCAAGCCTCATAGATGACATAATTTAGGCTTTTTTGGGAAAATTTGAGCCTGCTCGAATTTTGGCGACCTGGTGCCTCGAGAATTTTCGGAAAATTCGAGCCGGCTCGAGTTTTCCCTAAATCTCTTGAAATTCTGACTGCGATAATTAATACAATCAGTAGCATTAATTATTTGCTAATTCGAATTCAATTGTTAAGTTTCCCATATCTTTTAACGGCAAATATTCAAATTGTGAGAAGAGGCCATACACTGGTTTAAATCTAACAACAATTTTATTCTTAAACACTTGACAATTAATATAAGGACTACCTTTGATTTAAAACTTAAATTCACAATGAGGATATCTTCGGGACTAAAAGCTTTCCTTATATATATACACATAGCATTGGTAATTTAAATACATAGAATTCACACTTAAATTTAAGCAAACAAATTAGAATCACATTATGAGTTTCCTTTACTACTGTTCTTCTTCTTACCTTTCACCTCCTGAACTGCTTCATCTACTTCATTATTCTCAACTAACTTTCTTCTCTCTTCGTAAGCAGTTTGCTTAAATTCATTCTCTCTCTTCGGTTTCTTCATCTGTTCGCATGTTCTTGCTTTCTTATGAAACATTATGAATGTGATTTGGATTATTTAACCAAAAAACTGTTGTAAAAGCTCTTCTTCGGTTGTAGGTAGAAGTCCTGATTTGGTTTTAACATTGCCTGTATCTTCATGAGAATGATTTTGTAGAGGGTCTAATGTTGATGTATTTAATGTTATAATTATACTTCCTTTATCAAACATACTAACGGGGTCTCCTGCTTTTCGTATTCTTACATTTGTCCCGGTGTCTTCTGGTCGTTGTCCTGATACAAAAGGAGAACCATAACTACGACTTCTGAATACATTACCAAAATCATTGATTGTTTGTTGTCCCACTGTTGAACCTAAACTATGACTTATAATATCAGTACTTCCAGTATTTTTTCCATCTAGTTCAATAAAAACCGTCTTGAATGAACTTATCTACATCTCTATAACGCTTAGTCTGTTGCGTCTTGTCTGCAAATTTAAGTCCTTGCGCGTCCGTTAAGAATGTCTCTGTCCCTTCCAATTCGTCTCTAACTTCAGTATGTAGTCTGCTTGTTGTGTTAGGAGATTTATATAAAACCCCTTCATGTCGTCTTTATGTTTATGCACTATAAAAACTGAATAAAGTATTTCATCTAGTTGATTAATACTCTTGAAGAGTATAATGTAACAGAGATTTGCAAACCGCACAGAACCAAATTCACGAACGGATTCTGTTTGTAGCTTTCTTTTGTTTAAAAATATATTGTAATGAATGAATAACAAGTTATGGCTTCAGACATAGCAAGACAAGAAAGTATCGTAAAAGCAAGGAAAGGGCACATATGGATCATGGGCGGTGGTGACCATACATAAATAAAGACACAGTACATACCAGTATGTATATTATAGATGCCTCTCAACCGTCTGGTGGATTCTTTGGGGCTTCAGGCCCCGGGTCGGCAAATCGACTTCTTGGCCCCTCCGTGTGTTTTTTTGCTCTCTTCTTCTTCCACATAGCGAAAGCACTCTCCCTCTCTCTTTTTCATTTTGTTTTCTCTTCTTCTTCTTCTTCTTCTTCTTCTTCTTCTTCTTCTTCTTCTTCTTCTTCTTCTTCTTCTTCGGGGCTTGAAGGGTGCAGGCACCCACCCTCCGCGCACAAGTGACAAGGCGCGCCCAATCCATGTCCAGGTCGGCGTGACACTTCTCCCCGGAGGAAGATGTTGAAAGGGACCCAAACCTAGTAATAAGCACCCTGTTACAAATGTTCTCCCTCGGGGTATGCGGGGTTTTGCGTCCTGGAGGGCGGTCGGCCGCATCACGATGGCTATAGACCACTAACCCGCCTGAAGACACAAACAACCTTACAGGTGCCTTCCCCTGAATGATGGCCTTCCCTGGGACGTTTTTGCTATTTTTTTATCTTTTTCTCTCTCTCTCTCTCTGTCTCTGTCTCTTTCTCTCTCGCTCGGAGTGCTGTCTGACAAAAAACCTGTCAACGGCTCTAGGAAGGACAAATCTGACCCCAAGGCCCCCGGCCGGCGCCGGCTCGGAGGCGACGCTTTCCAGAGCCTCGTGAGATGAGCAGAGGGCCGAGCAGGGCTTTGAGAAGAGAGGGGCATCTGTGATTCGTGTGCTTTATGCGTTGAATGGCTCGTTGGCTCTTAGCTTGCTGTGAGGGCAGTGACCCTTGTCGGAACGTGGCCTCGGTGGGCTGCGCAGGATGGGAGGTCCGGTCATCCTCAGCCAGCGGCACTCTGGCTCGACGCGCTCTTGGGATCTTTAGCGGGGCAGCGCTGGCCTCGAACATACCGCAGAACCCACAACTTTTACTTTCAACATTCCCAAGTCGATGCTTGCAATCGTACATCCGCGCTGTATCAGAATTGAGCCTTACAGGGCCGCATACTAAGCCTCAGGCAAAAGGGACCAAGGTCTGTCGGTCCACTTGCGGATGGCTGGCATCCTGAGATTTGGAGGGCTTCGTTGGACTTTCGACATGTCTTGGAGGGGGCTCCCAGGAGTCTCAGGCTAAGGGTATGTTGCACTCACTAAGGAGGCCCTCTTTTTTGTTTTTGGAAGACCCTCTTGACATGCCCCCTCGCTTTTGGGGTCCCTTCCAACTCCCCCAAGCCCTCGCAAGCCCAATATCATGCCACTATCCCTCCCTAATTTCAGACCCCTCTTCGCTTCTTGGGAGGCAAGCATCTCCAAATTCTCGGGTTGCTCCGAGCTCGGCGAAGATCTCTGGGCGAACGCCGAGACCCAGTCCCAAGGTGAGGGCCAGAAGAACCACCGAGAGCCATGAGGCTGAGAATATGAAAGGAGGGGCTGAACAAACTGCGGATGCCATGGGACTTGAGCCCAGGCCTCGCGGAAGGCGTGTTGTCATGGCAAGATTTAGTCTAACGTGCTGTAAGACTATACAGTTAAGGAAGTTCAGGAATATATAATTGCTGTGCTACAAGTACATGTATTGCTTGCCAAAAACTGCTATCTTCGTCCTGTCTTCTGTGGCATCCGGGCAGCTTTTGGCGGAATTCTGTGCATCATGGACACACTGTTGACCAACAGTGGCCAGTCAATTTGTACAACTATGGACAGCATGGACAGCAACCTGGGGCAAGCAAGACTTGGGCAGAAGACGCCCAGTCTTGACGCTGCAAAGGCTGAGGCCTTTGCCCGGCTCGAAGAGTTCAGAAGACCCTATGTACTCCCTTCTTAACAGGTATATAGAAGGGCGAAACAAAATGCATAATTCCCTCATTCCCTACTCAAAGCCAGTAGGCATAAAGGTTACCTCGTCTCCTGACCGCTTCGAAAGCGGGCAAGTTCTTGGCGCAATTGCAGATTCCTCGGATGCTTTTTGAGGGCATCTAGGCTTAGGGATTGTACCCTGGACGCGTAGCATTTTACCTTTGGGTTTTGGGGACCCTGTTTAAAGATGTTAGGAGTATATTACGGGGAACCTTTAGGAGTACAACCTTCGGGGCCCGAGTCTTAGTCCCTTGAGGGCAGCTGGACATTTCGAGCGCTTACTGATAGCTGAAGTCTGCCAAGGTTCTCTGCCTCCAGGTGCGCCAGGCGTGAATGAATCTCTTGGCTTCTTTGCAATCCGAGAATAGCCAGAGCATGTGCGGGAACCTGCAGGTCAACACTGGAGCCGTCGCGAGTCTGAAAGAAGAAAGAACTCTGCTGGGGGCGGGGGGATACCTTGTGGAGGGGGGTGGGGGGGACTGGGCAACACTGCACTTCTTTTAAAAACGCTACCCAGCACATAGGAAAAAAACCATATGTGGACATACGTGATATTGTCCTTACAAATAGGGGTACCCCTTTATACCCCTCCCCCCAACAAGGGTAGCTACCCTGACCCCCCCCCAATATTATAAGGTGCTGGGGCAGTTTGGGGGAGGGGGGGGGGCAGCTTGGACGATTCCTTAGCCTGAAAAGGCTCCGAGGCGCGGGTGGCGCAAGCAGCACTTCGGGCTCGGCGAGGCGCGCCAGGGGCAATGCTCTGAGCCTGACAGCGTTTAGGGTTTGGGGTTCGGGTTTGGGGTTTAGGGTTTAGGGTTTGGGGTTTAGGGTTCAGGGTTTAGGGTAGCTAAGGCCACTGCTTGTTGCTGCTTGTTCAAAACGAAACCGATGCTGGCCATATGCTCAAGTTCACTGTCGAAGCACGGTCCCCAAGAGGGTCAGGAAAAACGGGAAGAGCAACTCAACGACTTGGAAAACTACATCTTGATGATTTGGGATGTTCCCCCTTCTGCAAACAGTCCTTAATGGGGATTCTACTAGGGGTACTATAATACCTATCAAGGACTGTTATTGTAAGGGGGAACATCCCAATTGTTGATTGATGGTTGCTTCATGTTGCTCCATCGGCGGACTTTGGCCAGGGCGAATTGCTCCACCTGGAATGGTTCGCTCTTTTGTATTGTGTGTGTGTGTGTGTGTGGCGCTTTTTGTGGCGCTTTTTGATTTGTTGGCAGGCAGGTCAGCAACTGAGGAGCCAGCAGTTCCACGGCAGCCTTGGAGGCCCAAGGCCCACGCAAGCAGAATTGAATTAACATGAATTAACTATGCAAACCCATGTCGCAAAGCACAGTGTCTCGCAGTGCTGCTAAAGGAGCAGCATCGTGGCGGTTCCCCTCGCCATCGATCAGCCATTCCCGCAGCAGGGCGGCGGCTGCCTCCACCTTGGCATCGCTCAGCTCGTCCCAGGCCACCAGATTCCAAGCCTCCTGGGCTCTCAGCCAACGATCGCCTCAGATCTAAAGGGGCGAGAGACAGAACTAAAGCAATCCTTCTGACCTGAGAGTCAAACCTACTTGCGTTACGCGCAGTATCGCTTAGTGCGAGTTGCCATCCGATCTTCGCAGCTCCTGCGCAAGATGCAAAAGAAAGCCTAAACCGCAATGCTCTTTGTCCTTTCAAATGAGTCGGACTCATGCCTCCAGCACGCGTTGTGCGGCCAGCTCGACGGCAGGACCCTTGCGGGGCAGTTGCGAGAGGAGCTTGAGCGGGAAGCGCACGCCAGGAAGGCCTCCCGTCGGCCTCCGCAAAGCAGAAGAAAGCAAAAAACATGGATTGCTAGAAAGCGACGTTCTGAGTTTAGTGGCTGCTATGAGTCACTGATAGTGTCGGCCTGACAGTCACACCCTCTGCGCCTGAAAAGAAAGCGGAAAAGCAACTTCTCGCACTGGTAGCTCTCGCCAAGCTCTCCCAAGAGGCCTGCGGCGCAAACAGTGGGGCTGCTATTTCGGGGAGGAACTCTCACAAACTTATGGGTGCCAACCAACAAAGCTCGTTGTGCATATCTGGCGCCATGTTTCTAAGGGTAGTTACATGGTCCCTGAATGTGGCCCCTTACCTTTGTTTGAAGAGTTCTGAAGTAAGGGCCGTTGGGTTTAGGGTTTAGGGTTTAGGGTTTAGGGTTAAGGGTTAAGGGTTTAGGGTTTAGGGTATTTCGCCTAGATCTCCCAGAGCTCGCTTGGCGGCCCAGGCGAAGGCCGCCCGAAGCTCCGGCACCGCCAGGTCGGCGGCCCGCGTTGAGGCCTCTTCAGGGTTTACGGTTTAGAGTTTAGGGTTTTTTTAGAGTTTAGGGTTTAGAGTTTAGGGTTCTTTTAGGGGTTAGGGTTTAGGGTTTAGGGTTTACGGTTTAAGGGTTTAGGGTTTGGGCCTCTTTCAGTTCCTCCGACGGCTCCGAAAGCGCCACAAAGGACCGCAGACCTCCAACACACAAACATTGGGATGTGCCCCTTATAACAATCCTGAAAAGGGATTCTGGTACCCCCCCCATAATCACTATTGAGGACTGTTAATATAAGGGGTAACATCCCAACATATCCCAACACAAACGCATCATTATGGCTTGTATACACTCATAAGAGTCGTGGAGATCAGCTCTCATAAGCTTGAATCGAAATGCCACTTTCCATCCGGTCCTTTCATCTCTTTCCGTGCTCTTCAAGGCACTCTTGTATGAATGTACATAACTTAGCTCCACCGAGCGGCCCGCGCGGTTCCGCACGAAGCCGTCGAAGATCGTCGCCGCCGCGTCGCCCTCCACATTCCAGGAAGAAAGAACCCGCGAGAGGATCACCGCCGCGGCCGCGCTGGGAATGGACCTGAGAATGCTTTATAAAGCTATAAAATGCGATCTCTCACATATAAGACCGAGCGCAGAGGCACGCGCGGGTTTACAGCTCTCAGCCTCCGGCGGCCTCGCCAAGGTGTCCAGGAGCAGCGCAGGCGCGGAGTCTGCGTCCGAGAAGAGGCTGAGACAGGCAGCATCACAGGCATCCACGGGATCTGCTTCGCCCGCGAGGCCGCGTTCGAAGATCTGCAGGGCCATGGAGGCCACGTTCTCGGCGCCTTCCTCTTGGGCCGCCGCGTGCGCGAGGCGCGCGAGGCGGAAGGCCAAAGGCCTCCCGATCGGCTTCCCGGCGTCCACGTGGCGCAGGAGGCGCCTCAAGTCCACCAGCTCCGCGCCGAAGTGGGCCTCGTGCCTCTGAAAGAGCTCCACGGCGAAGGAGTGTGGGGAAGAGTTGTCGGCTCCAGCTCCGACCATGAAGGTCTTCACCGTCTTGAGGTGGCTAACCAGGGTCTCGGGTGCGGATTCGAAGAGCTCCAGGGCTGCCAGCCCCACCGCCGGCGTCTCCGTCAGCTCCGTCATCAGGCGGAGCTGGTGTTTGGGTAAGGCTCGCAGCGCAGTCTGCATCTCACTGACCACCTCTTCTTGCCTGAAGTGCCCTGCTGCTACCGCGAGCTTCGCAGCGAGCTCAAGCTCAGAGCTTTGCCCAGCAGCAAGCCGGAAAGATCTGGCAGCCACCAGGAGCAAGGCCAAGGAATCCAGGTAGACGGCGGCGTCGAAGACCAAGCAGAAGTCTTGCCAGGTGCTCAGAGGCCAAGGGGGCCCAACGCCTCCCGAGCAGGGGCATTGGCGCTTTGTTTAACAGTCTCGTGGCCTCTATGGGGCCTATAGTATATATATATATATATATACTGAATATACTGCGCAATATTCTGCATCCTTCTACGTACAAGTGAAAAAGTATATAGCAACCCTTGAGAAGACCATAAATTGAACGCGCTCCAAAGATGGGGAGGCCTCTTGGACACGCGAACCAGCTCATCGCCAGGCTGAATGCAGGGCGGTCCCCGGGGAAGTCCTGGAACCGATAGACCCTGGAGCCCTCCTTTCCCTCCCCGAGACCATCCGACCACTCGTGTCGCATTGCGGCTGCGAAGTAGCCAGAGTTGGCTTGCAGGAACTGGCCCTGGCAATCGAAGGCTAAGTCGCCAAACGCCACCACCACGTCACAATCTCTTTGCACCTCCCTCTCTGGTGCGACGTACAAGTCCTGAGATCCAGGCGGAGACACCTTTTTTGTAGAGAACGCCACAAGTCAGTGGTCGTACCGTTCCTGCATAATGTGGAGAACCCACTACTGGTATGCTGTAGGCGCAGTGCGGACTACAAAACTCTGACAAGGACTGAACAATATTCTTGAGCCGAGTCGCAGCCCCGCGGTCGAAAAGCCCATGGCTCCGTCCTGGCTCAAAGGAGTTCTGATTTTTTCAGTTTTTCCATGTGTGGGAGCCCTTTTTCTAAACTCCCAAATTAAATAGTAGGATCCCCTCATTATCAGAAACCAGTACGGCACCCCTGTTATCGTAAACCACCATTTAGTCATAGTCCCCCTCCCCAACACCCCGACTGCACTCCTTCCAGCAACTCCTCGCGGCGAGACTTCCTGGGGCCATAAGTTCAGAAGGTTCAGAATCTTGCGGGGGATCTTCCGTGTTTTCCATTTGCTCCTTAGCTCTTTTCTTTCTTTCTTTCTGCGCACCTAACCCCCCCTCGATTGAGGAGGGCCTCCTTGGCTCTCTCTCTCTCTCTCTCTCTTGCAAACTCCTCGCCTGAAGGTGGCCTGGCCCCTCCGGACGACGAAGCCGCTGAAGCCGAGACCTCAGAACACCGAAGCACAGTCCCCCCCCCCAAGGCAGCCCCAAGGCACCGAAACCCTCCACTTCCAGTGCTCCCCCGCGAAGTTTTTTCTCCAAGGCTCAGAGGCACTCCTCCTTGCACTGGTTCACCTCTTCCTGAGGGGGAGAGGGGACGGGGGGGGGATCTGAGGCTTCACAGCGCAAATGCCCCTTTTTCGGGGCCCCAGTGCCACCGCACAGAGTCACAGAATCAGAGAACAAAAAAAAGGCCAAAAGCACACTTGGGTGCCCCTATCTCTGCCTTCTGCCTTCGAGTCTCTTCGGTTTTCGCAGGAAGGCCGTAGCCCGCGAGCTCGGGGCCGACGTCCGAGTGGGGAAAGAAGTCCCAGGCCATGGGCCAAGCGCATCCCCGCGTGTCACAGCTTCAGCTGACGCGACGAATGCTTTTTGTTGGGACAAGAGCCCTCTTAGAGACATGGAGAGATGTAGAATGTCTGCACCTCTTCCCAAAAACAAACAGGTGATCCAGTGAAGTAGAAAGAGTGTCCGTGCAAAGATTCCACTTGCAACGGAACATATGACTACAATGATAACAGGAATAAGTCATGGAGCAGCGCGCTTCCTCATGCTTCTAGGCGTGCGGGCGCGGCACGAACATGTTCAGCGGATCCAAGCTCTCACAAACGTATCCCCCTGAGAACATGCAACCACATCATGTGCGCAACACCTCTTCCGACATTGCGGGCGACCTCAAACTGCACTTTTTGGCACGGTCGAGAACGCGCATCTGCAAACCAGGTCTCCTACAAATCGGCCGCGAGATAACTTGAGACGTCCTAAGGAAATGGCCTACAAAGCGCAAGCCGACACTGAAGCTCTTGCGAGGCAGCCGAGGTGGGAACCTGAGGCGAGGGTGTCTGAGGAAGCGTCGCCACGTAAACCCGACGTAGGGCCTCGCGCAGAAATACACCTGCGGAACCTTGCTGACGTGAAGGGCCTCTGAAAAAAATGCATGTAGTACATTGTACAGGCTAGCCACCTCATGCGCAGCTCAATCGGAAGGGGGTGGATTGGATGGTAGCTTTTGAGAAGCCTGAGTCAACTTGCGGGAACTGGCCTGCAGAGATCTGACGGCCTCATGTAGCAACCAGGTGCAACTCGTTCACATCCATTTTTTCAGTGGCGGTTGGAGGTAAGTCATGGAATCCACAAATGGCTCAGTACCCAGTAACAACAAAAAATGCCGTGAGATAAACTGCGTCACTGGAGACAAACCTGGATACAATTGCAACTATGGAGACGTCGTTATGTGGAGTCGATGACGGAGTTGAGACCCCAAAGCTAGGGGCTCTTCAGCCACCCAGCTTACTCAAAGCGGCCGCCACTCGGCAAAACAGACTCGGATTAGGCCTGTACAGTACAGTGGACGCTGCGGAACACAGCTGCGCCAAACGCGCTTTGAAAGCCTTCAAAGGCTTCAAGCTGCATCCTACAAAAGTCCATGTGTGCGGGTATCACTGCATCTTGCCGCGATGATTTTCACAGCTTGTTCGAAGCGTCCGGACACTCCGAAACTCGGCCTCACCTAAGGAGAGGCCGACATGCTCTTGAGGATTGTAGTAGGTGCCACCGATCCGGTCCCACCAGTCAACCATGGCCCCGTAGTTGGCATGGAAGAAAGCATGGTGGTTATCATGAAAAGTCACAGGGGCTTGCCAGAAGAGCCATGCGAGCCAGCCTGACGTATGCAGCTCGAGACCGGAGTGATCAATGGCATTGCACACAAAAATCCAGGCGAGCAAGAAACAGGCAGAGCAGACGCTGAGGGGCAGCGCCGCCAGCACAGACAATGTGCACACCGTCAGGGCTAAGAATTCGACTGGATGAAGCGCGGAGACCACGAAAGCGTTGGGGCTCTTCCACAGATGGTGAGCCTTGTGGACATGCCGGTACCACCATGGACGGTGCAGCATGCGGTGAACCAAGTATGCTGAGATGTCCACGAAGATGTAGGCACACAATAGGTACGGGGCATCAGACATGCGTGGAAAGCCCCAGTAAAGGTTTGTCCACCCTTGGATTGCATAGTATGGATACGCGGACACAGCAGAAACTGAAAGTATGCTCTTGCAGCTGAAAACAATAGCACGTCGCGTCTCCAAGCTTGTCATTGCCTTGTTTTGGATACTCAGCCTGCGGCCTTCTTCAGGAAATCTGTAAGTGTAGGTGTAGAAAATCCCTCCGCAGACAGAGAAGTACATGAGAAAGTACATCATTGGAGCCAAGAAGAACAGAAGTAGACGGGTCGCCCAGGGCGCAACTGGGCAGGGCGCCTGGCTGACAAGACCTGCCATGGGAAGAACCACTGACAAATAGACTTCAGTGACAAAGGCTGCGATCGACATCTCTGTCAGCATCAAAACGTCCTGCCAGTGGAAATGCTCTCCATCATCCAGGTATCGGCGCACATTGCAATCCAGCAAAGATGCCACCTTCATTGCGCTGCGGGGCACGGCCGGGCTCGAGCCACGAGATCCGCAAGCGCAAGACCCCCTTGACAAGCTTCTATCACTTCCACGAGATCGATGTTCAACTTGATTTTCAACCACCTTCCAGTAACAACGCAAGATCTACTACAGGTGTGGTTTGATCCACAGGAGTTTGTGCACAGACGCCCCAAAACTCATTTCAGAAAACTCTAGTGTCTTTTGCAACCCTACATTCCTTAGTTAAGCGCGACGACAACCGCCATGGGCTCCCAGTCGCGAACCCCCCAAACTATGATGCTGCCAAACCTTGATAGCGTTCAAGTACAAAAAACTCTACTCTCCCTAATCCCACCAAGCCCGTGGAAATAACTTTGGTGATGCTGATTGCTGTATCTCTGAAACAGGCCTGCAACTGAAGCAGGGGCCAGGTCAGCTGCAGAAACGTCGATGCCATGGACGCCATGAGCTTGGGCAGCTTCAACCCAGGGTTTAGGGACACGCGCTGACTCGAGAACAGCTACCCTAGGGTGGTCTGCTAGATGAAGCTTCTGCCACGGGAGAGCGGGCGGTTCTGTTCTGCTGACCATCGGATCTCAGGTCATGTTCATGAGTTTCGACTTTGCTTTTGCATGCCCCCCCCCCCCCCCCGCTCGACAAATTGCTTCCAATTTCGAATCTTTTGCCGGAAGCGCCCCCCCTGAAACTGGGAACTCTGGCTCTGAGCCAAGAAAGTTCCCCCGGGCTGACGGCATGGAAGAGCTGCTGAGAAAAGAACTCAAGACAAAGAGCTGCAGAGAGCTTCGGATGTTTTCGACCTGCCTCATGATGCTGAATGCAAGATTCAAGTCCCTACAGTCTCGAATCATTTGTAGAGTCTTCTCAGAGGTAGTACTCAGAAAGATCGACTTCTCCACAAGGGCGTAGCTCTTGGCCTGACATGCAGAGGCTGTCGAAGCCGAGCCTCTCCTTCAGGGGCACAGCGGCCGCAGTTATTGTTTACTCTGTGCCCGGTGTGTGTTTTATGAGAGAATTGAGAGAACCCTTTGGTCGCATGCCCAGCATGTTTCTTTTGGTCACTTTGAAGGGGAAGCAAGGGAACAGCAGGGCATAGTGGGGCGTTTGAAGGCGCTTGAGAGCTGGTCGTGCAGGTGAGGGAGGTCAAGCTTTGATTGCTGCTGCAAACATCAACAAGACATCTGCCTGACTTTGGGTACCAGGAGCATGGCTTTCGGGGCTTCTGACGCCAGCGCCTGCTGCGACATGTACTGGGGCATCATCAAGACATCCTCATCCTCAAACTGCATCAAACTTGCCGGAGTCGTGGTGTCTGTGGCATCATCCTCGACCGAAGGACATTGGCCTGAACGATTCAACACTGAATGCTCAGCGGCTTCTGCTGTTTTCGATAAAAGGGGTACCTTCTTGAGGTCCTTACTATTATAAGGGGGGATCATAAGGGGGATCCTACTATTCGGGGGACTATATTCGGGGGCCCCTTATTGTCGTAAACCCCCACATCCCACCTGCCCACTTCCTCTGGCCGCCGAGGTCTTTTGTGATGACGCTCATGAGCGTGAAGAAGACGAAGCGAACAAGCTTCAGCGCCTGGCTTCCAGCGGGGGGTGGACTGTACTCACTCCACTCTGCCATCTGGGGGTTTAGGGTTCAGGGTTTTGGGTTGTGTTGCCACCCGACTAGCCACAGCAATCGGGGAAGGTTTGGGGTCTCTCTGGTGCATGTGGGGGAATTCTTTCACCCAAGGCGCTCCAAGGACCACATTGATCATGAAATTCAGGAGCTTCTCCATCATCCCCATCACAAAGGACGCGAAGGTGCCGACAACGCCTCATGAGTCGACATCCATGACTAGTGAGTCTATAGAGGGACTCTATAGGCAATAGCACGCGTTACGAGTCCCTGCCCAAGAGCAGACCAGAAGCTGGACGGAATCACAAGCTAAAGTATAGTAAAGCAGGCCCATCCAACAGAGGTCCATCCAAGAGTCTTGTGGTTCCTAAAGCAGGCCAGGGGACGTTTGAATGAGCAGAGGTATCCAAGGCCTTTGCGGAGACCTTTCCGGCCCTCGAAGCACTTCTGCACGCCCTTTGGTAAGCCCTCGGTCCACAACGCAAGCCCCGAGAACTTCTTCGGTGCCTGAGCTTGCGGAACCATGTTGGTCCTCAGCTCTGTCCAGTTGGGATGCAGATCTACGAAGGTCTTGTAGTCGAAGGCGCTCGTGGTGTTGACATCTGAAGCGTTGAAGTCGCCCTTCTTGCAGTTGTAGATGCCAACGCTGTGCCCGTAGACCTGCTTGGGCGGGAATGCGACATGCACGCATCACGACACGAAGGTGGCATTTTTTGCGATTCCAAGCCCGTCCGAGTATATATATATATATACTAGACACACGTGCGTGCTTCGCACGCACTTAGTGTCTGCACCAGCCCACGATGCGGAGTCTAGAGGGGACGGCCCGGACAGAGGGGGCAGCGGGGCGGGCAGGCTGACGCGGCCACGGGTGGGTCCGGCTGTTTTGGGGTTGGCAGAAGTGGCGCTTTCACGTCTAACGGGCCCACGGGGTGAAGGGGGTCGGATGTAAGCTACGGGGTGGGGGGGCGGTTTTTGTGGGGAGGCAGGTCCAGGGTTTGCGTGCTTTGTTGTGTCTGCACCAGCCACGATGAGTGGAGGTTTGGGACTTTCGGCTTTAGGGCGTTGACCTCGGGCAGTTGGGATGCCGAAGTGGCGCTTTCACATGGGGTGTTCGGGGGTGCGTGGGGGGGGGTGGGGGGGGTGGGGGGGGCGGGGGGAGGGTGGGGTGGGGGTGGGGGTGGTGGGGGGGGGGTGGTGGGGGTGGCGGGGGTGGCGGGGGGGGGGGAGTGAAATGTGTGTTGAGGCGGCCAAAGAGGGGGGGGGCGGGCGGATAACCAACGGCGAGGTGGGGTCTATTTGTTTATATATATATATATATATATATAGGTATATATGGGCAAGAGATGTCGTGATCGGCTTTCGCGCCCATGTTGCACTTAACTTAACGAAAGCTGCCCAAGGGGGTCCCGGCCTTCCCATTCTCAGCGTGCCATCCGACCTTCGCATCTGCCAACTCCTCTGGGCTGCAAGACGTCGAGCCGCAACCTCGGCAGGGTTCCATGGTTGAGGGGGGCTTCCCAAAATAGAATTCTTTAACCGTGTTGTCTTGGGGGTTCGCAGAATAAGGTCGGGGGGTACCGAAACACCCCGTGTTTCACCAGGTTTCATACGGCTCCGGCTACGATTCAGATCGGGCATGGCAAGTATGTGCCTGGACAGATGCGAGTCTTCGAGCATCGGGACTCTTTGCACTTTCTATGATGCGATGAACCGCTTGCCGCCCTGACTCTGAGCAATCTGCCCTCAGTTGCCTGAACCCTAAAGCCAAATATATACTACCAGTCATGCCTTCGGACAAAAGAGATCCCAAAACGAATCAGGGTTTGTTCGCTTTCAGGAAGGCCCGCACCCGAAACAAAAGGAATCCCTAATGTGCCTAAAGTCTGGCTTTTAAGTCCCAGGCCCGTAATCCCCATGCCCAGGGTCTTCGTCGGCACGCACCTGGGATGCTTTGACGTGTGCAAATGCTCCAAAAAATCCTCAAATGGAAGCTCTCGAAAGCGACCGTCGAACTCATGGCAGCTCACCAATGGCGGATCGCTACGACTTGGGGAGCAGTTCAACAATCCAGCACCTACGTCCTGTGCGCCTCAGCATGAACAGAAAGACTCGGATCTCCCCTCGCCAACCCTTCCTCCCCACCCCGGGAAAGCCGCCAACCTGTCTTTTGGGGGCAACAACAGCCCGCAAAATCATGCAGGGCATCGGGAAAACAAACGTGACCTCTTTTGGGGGTGTAAGGGGGCCAGATTCCCTTATTGGGGGCTTGTTAGCTCATTTGGAATTGTTAAGCCCTTAGTTGGAGGATATGAGGCCCTCACACCCCCTTCCTTCCAGCCCTTGGTTCCTTATGATCCTGGATACCACAGAGACCTTAACCCCTTGCCTTCTCAATGGCTCGCAATTGTTGGAACCCTTGCGCAGGTGCACGGTTCAGCTTCCAGTGTCCATTAGGCCATTATAGTCATTATAGGCCTCAGACTTCATTTCTGATGATCTTTCGTGGCGGCCTTCCTCCCCTCACTTTTTTTGGTTTCCTCGTGGACTCTGCCTCTGCGGCTTTTTTGTTTCTCTCTTTCTCTGGGCTCAGCAGCCTTGGGGAAGCATCCGGTCCCGTTCAGGGACACCTTTTTTTCCGGGGACCTGTTGGGGAGACACCCAAAGCGAAGTTCATATGCCCAAAAAACAGGAAACCCACATTCTTCGAAGTCAGCAGGAGATCCCCCTTTCAAGTCGGGACAGGGTTTGGACCAATGTTGGCTGTGGCTTCTTGCTTCTTGCATCAAGGCAACTTCTCTCCAGGAGCTGGGATGAAGTGGTACTCGTTGACCATCTCCACCTCCTGATGCGGGTGTCTGTGGGCGAAACCCACAGCCGCCAAATTTTCAAACCTCGAAGAAGCTAAACCCGGCGCAGGTGCGCGGAGCGACAGACGAGGCGTGGCTACCAGCCCATGCGCGCAATAACCGAAGACCGGGTTGTCAACTTTTGTATGGAAGCCCGCAGTCCTGCTTGTGATACAGCGCGCAGACGCTGTTCTTCATTCGAGCGCTCGCTTCGCAGTTCAGGGGGATGCAGCCGCAGGTGTTGAGCCCACCGAGAATTGATGCGAGGATGAAGGCCATGAAGATATCGGAGCCCATGGGAGCAACGGCATAGAACATCAATGGGATGAGGACCGGACAGAGAGGGACCAGGGCCAACCCGCCGAAGGCCGCTCCCGCAACTCCAGCAGCTTCGCAGGCGGCGATCAAGCCAGGGCCCAACGTCAAGGTGTTTCCTCGGCGGTTTTGCGAGACAAAGTGCACTTAAGAACCCAGAACCGATGGGAGAAGGAAGGCATCGAATCCTGAATAGAAATCATTCTCATCTTGCCTAGCTTCGTGTTCCTTCTGACAATACAGATGCGGCAACGGCAACGGTGAAGATGGCTTGGGTCTTTCGGGTATCGCAAGCGCAACCGTGCCCAATCGGGCATGGACTGTCCGTGTTCTCCTTGCAGTCGCTGGGCATCAGGCACGTATTTCCGGTGCAATCTGTTTCACCTCACGGGGTGCCGTAGCATGATGCCCCAAACCGTCGAGGAAACGATACCCCGTACATATCCCGCGCGTCGCTTGTGGAACGACGAGGGTGAAGGAAACGGAAAGGACACACCAGCCACTACGTCTGAGGGCGGCGCAAGACTTAAGGCCAACCCAAGAAGCAAGGACAACTTGGCAGCCGACTGGACAATGGAGAAGGTACAAAAGCAAGGGCTGGGCGAGAACGACCCCTCCGCTGAATACTGCCGTGGAGGCGTTTCTTTTCATCGTAAGAATCTTCAGAGCTTCAGAGCGAGTAAAGCGAAAACTTTCGCGCAATGTTCTCAAAGAAAGAGGTGAAGAGAGAGACGGAGAGAGAGAGAGAGAGAGAGAGAGAGAGGCAGTTTGATGGTGACTCCCCTAAACCCTAAACCCCCCAAAAGTTCTTCCACATGTTAGAATCCCAAGAACCTGGCCAAGGGCCAAAAATGGCCCCCCAGGTTCCCTTTTTCGCCCCCTAAAAACCGATCTGCTGAAGCTCCCGCGATCCGTACTCCGGGAGAACATGTGGGAAGTGCACATGCGAAGAGGTCGGCATCCGTGCATCGTGAGGGCTCTTCGTATGTGATGTGATGAGGTATACAGGAGAAAACCTTGCCATGAGGAGCGAGCAGCTGTAGCAACTCTGGGCGATGCTCGATGCGACTTGCATGCCTTCTGGCTTACCCTCCGAGAAGTACCTGGCAGCAAGGAGGCTCTACGCCTAAAGGATTTAAGGGGCTTCCAGAGCACGAAGGGCTCTAATAGTCTAAGGGCTTGCAGAGGCTTCTGCGTCCCAGGCGTGTTTTCTTTTTGGGGAGTTTTTGCGTGCCAGGTACCTGACCAATTCTTGCATCACGTCCTCCCTGAGAATTTGAGAAGCTGATGGTAGGGAGCTCCGATTCCCACCGACAAAGTTGTTGGTGCAGAGGGCGATCGTAGCTGTGAGATCACCGCCTAAATCGCTTGCTCCATCATTCGCCGAAGGCAAGGAAGTCGCATCAATGGAGAAGCAGCTTTGCAAGTAGGACTCCGTGTAGTCGTAGATTGACCAAAGCTTGTTCTCACCTCCGTGGCGAAATGGATCGGTTGGCAGCGACGGAAGGCCTGCCAGCTGCTTGTTGTACGGGTAGACGGAGTTCACAATTGCACCAGAGAGCTGCGCACTCTCATTTTGGCTCTTCTCCACCACAACCTTATATGAGAAACCAGTAGAGTTGTGCTATGTCGCGCAAGAGAAAACCCATCCCTAGAAAGGCCCCACCTAACCCCCACCTAACCCGTACGCACTCTTGCGTAGTCTGCACATCTACAACAAAAACTCTTCAAGACAGAGTTGGGGCAACCAGCGGGTCCGGCTGCCAGCCAAGCTCTCGCAGCTTTCCGAGCACTTCCGGGGCGTCGCTTGCGGCGTGCAGCCCGCGCATGTCCCAAGCAAGGTACTTCCTGGGAGTTGCTATGATACGAATCAGAAAATTACAAAGTGCGAGTCATAACGGTTTTACAATCATATGATACAGTATAATCGAATCTAGAATATATGATTATATATGTATGTTTATCTTCATATAGAAATATAAACACAAAGCACATCATCATCATCATCATCATCATCATCATCATCATCATCATCATCATCATCATCGGAAAAGGATGGCCGGGGTCTCGCCTGAGGGCCACGCAAAACTCCCCTAAACCCTGAACCCTCAACCCTAAACCCTAAACCCTATATAACCCTAAACCCTAGACCCTAAACCCTAAACTCTAAACCCTAAACCCTAAACCCCACCCCACGGAATCCAAGCTTCGAGTAGTCCTGTGAGTCACGACCATCGCTCACGATCATCCAAGTCGGCAGCCTCAATCCCATTGACAACAACCCGAGTGATGATACGGATCGTGTCGTTAAATGTCTGCGCTTGATGGTTGCAACCATTTTTTTAACAGCTTCACACCTCACCACCACGAGCACAAGAACACAAGACCGGCTCTCAGGGCTTACAGGCTTAGAGTTCTAACAGAAAGCCCAGCGCTGCTGGGTTGCTTCGACTTGTTCACATCCCAGACCTTCCGCATGCCCCGCATCCACTCCGGAATAGGGAACTTGTTGTCTTCGTCCATCCAGAGCATGGAGACGTTGCTGGGCTCGTAGAGATACTTGGGGAGCGCGATGGTCTTGTTAAAGAAGCTGAAGTTCAGGTCCGAGACCGGCAGCAGCCGGTTCCGGGGCTTGAGGCCCCTCTCCCGGGCCTTGCTCATCCATTTGCAAGGGTACTCGAGCTCCTCGGGATCTCCATGTAGGTCGTAGCCGTAATTCTTCCCATGTGCGTGCCTGGGAAGCGGCTCATGGTCACGAACGGTTTATACACACGTATATGTAGAGACATAGATATTATAAACAAAGAAAAAAACACATGAATCAATAAGTATGTGTATAAAAAGATGTATAGCATGGTATTTAGACATATGTACACTGAAAACAAATCACATGCAACCGGTTTAGTGGCTAAGCAGATCTACCGGACCAAGCCATGTCTCCCTTGCAACCTCTAAGGAGCCGAAAGCTCGAGATAGGCATCTGGAACTTGAGACATGTTTGCAAGCCTAACCCAATGGCGAGTCCCGGAGCTTCTCTCAGGAAAGCTCGGAGTTTTGTTTTTTTGGATTTGCGCGTGTCTATGCAAGGGAGAAGCGCCGAGAAGCACAGAATGGGCTGCACAAGTGCAACCAAAAAACATGACAAAGTGAGATCAACACATGCAAACCGAAGCACAAATAAGTAAAAAAACACGAAGAAGTTCAAAAACGCCAAAAAAAGAAATGCAAAGAACAAAACAACACAAATAAGTGCCAAAAACAACAGCAACACCTATTTAGACAAGATGGAAGTTTGGGCTTTCGTTTTGAATTTGCGTGCAATTTTCCCTTTCGCGGTTGGTCGATCTGAGGGGGGGGGGGTATTTACATGGGGCATACAAGGCTAAACAATGGGTACATGCGATTCAGAGCCCAGCACGTCAGCCCCTAGAGATCATGTTGAACCATAACTCCCAGCAGACGGCTCTACAGAAGGGCCAGCTTGGGTTTTTGGTTTTTTGGGGGGGTTTTTTCACAGCTGAGACTAGTCCAGATGCATCTTCTATTTCTCCCACTCATAAGAGGGCGACCTTTGAAATGTACCCCTATCAGAATTTCAATAACGTCCCAACTACCCGAAACGGGAACACGGCATTAAATTTAGTTCTTAAAATCACTGAAAAAGCTTTTGCATGTGTTATGCACGGGCCTTTTGCTAAGGAGGCTTTAATAGAAAAACATCTTGCAGTTGTCAATATCTTATTTGTGCAGACTTTGAAACAAACTGAAGAATCATGTCTTCAATAAGAACCATTCTGGGGTCCTAGTAACTGCTGTTGAAGAGAGTTTATATCTCATTCTTTTGAACCCGCGCTATGCAACTGCCGTCTCATCTCATGAAAACCCTTACCTTGCGATAACGAGCGTTTCAGTCTTTCTGATCGTCAAATCTTGCCATGTTGTGTTACCCACCTGTGGTTATTCTAGTAGAATCTACTAGAATCTCACTAACGTCTTAACTACTCGATTGAAGACAGTATCATTAAAAATTCTACATAGGCTGCTCAAAAAGCCACCAAGAAAGCCAATAATTAGAAGCTTTCATGGAAAGTAACCGGGCTTAGGTCCGGTAGAGTGAACTGTCCACTCAGAGGGCAGGGGTGAAGTGAAGTGTTCATTCATTTCTAGGTTCGGTTGAGCTCTTATTTTAATCTTATGATATGGAGCCCCTGTAAGTATTCCTGAAAATCAAGGAGACGGGACGGTGTATCCTGCGGGCAGTCTTTTTGACAGCTTGGTTTTGAAGGGCCCAAAATCCAAATCGAAAATTCCTAAAAACTCAGAACCCCGAAACCCTTTTTTTCTGGGAGATCCTCCGGCGAGGTTCGGATTTTGGTTTGTTGGCATCTAATTCCCCAGCATTGCAAAAAAACATCGAGAATAAAAAGCACATTTTTGCAGAAAAGCCTAAATTTGTGTATGTTTACAAAGAACGCATTAGGACTGATCTCGACTGTGAAAAACCCCTCAAAATCCAAAACAAACAGCCAAGCTTTCCTGGGGGAAGCTGCGGGAAAGTTTGGATTGTTTGGGCTTTTCTGTGCTTTCTAGCGAGTCTTTACAAGTGTGGCTCTAAACCCTTGTATCACATCTAACTTCAGACATACAAGGAACCCACTAGAACATGTAGAATATGCAGGAGCTTTCGAGTCGAGGTTGGTCCATTTGGGAGGGGAGGGGGGGTGACCGTATATAAACTAAATGCATACACATGCTCAGAAACACTTGAATGCTACGACGAATCCTCTCATTGCCTGTAAGCTCGGGTTCTGCCATTCCCGAACACCCGGAACCAAGCTGCTGGGAGTGGATTTGTATGCCAGCGCGGCTCAGGAAAAGCACCTGCCCGAAAGGTGGCTTGTTAAGGGTGCTTCTGTTGGGTTGCTTGTGTTTTTCTTCATGTTTAGGCGCCCCACTACACACCCTAAACCCTAAAAACCCTAAACCCTAAAAACCCTAAACCCAAAACCCTAAAAACCCTAAACCCTAAACCCTAAACCACTAGCCCTTGAGGCAAGATGTGGTCGGCGGAGTGGGAGCACCTTCCAGGGGAAGCGCTCCTTGAGCTGGAAACCATTCCATCGCCTCTTCAGGCCCATGTTGAAAACACCGATTTTGTCCTCAGTAGGTAGGGTTTAGGGCTTTTGGGGTTTGGGGTTTAGGGTTTAGGGTTCGGGGTCTAGGGTCTAGGGTCTAGGGTTTAGGGTTTTGTGTCTAGGGTGCACGGTTTTGGGTTTCCAAAGCTGAAAAGGCAAGTATTGGAATGCAGCCCGGCAGCCACGGTGCATTTCTGCTGGCGCGATGAGAGGTATTTGTGCAAGTCTTCCCATGGCGAGGACACTTGCTCATATCCTGAGGCGATGCCACTTCCCAGGTCCTTAGTTGCATTGGAAAAAGCTAAGATTATGGCTTTCAGGGTGCAACCGGCTTCAAAAACCAACCTCGCCGGCAAACCAGGTCTCAACAAGCACCCAAGGGTCAACTTCCTGGACGATCTCCGTCGAGAGCGTGTTCTGAAGTGAGACTTTAAGCGACCGTCCCGCGCTCACCTCAACCTTCCTGCTTGCGCTTCCCACGTGGAGAGAGGTCAAGTCCTCAGGTCAGAGGCCATCTGCGGCTTTTGTTTAACAATGGGTATAGTGCGCCACAGGAGAGGGCGTGCGAGCCGCTAGAGTGACTCACAAAGAAGAAAAAAGGGGAACCGAACCCCTTTTTTTGGCAAAAGAGGACCGTGTGCTTAAGAATGAGCCGATCCATGTTCTTATTTTGGGGCAAACGCCGACAGCTTGCCATTCAAGAGCTGAGGGGCAATGCTTCCCAGACGCTCGTTGGGATCGCCCTTCAGTTCCATCATGCCTCGGATGGCCCCCTTAAAGGCCCTCTGAAAAACTAGTCCCCTTAAGCCCTATAAGGAAAAATGTGTGAAAAAAAATATGTCCCGAAACCCGCCGAGATGCCTAATTCCGAGAGAAAATCTTGGCAGGACTCCGGGTAGGTTGCCTGGTCGCCCACGGCCGTCTTGAGGAGCTTCTCCCACTTCTTACCTTTACTGAACTTGGAACCCTTAGCAAAAAAGGAGATTGCAGCCGTTCCTTAGGAATTGCAGTACCCCAAAATCAGAAAAACATATTCCCAAGAATCCCTAAGTTACAGTCCCCGAAGCAGAACTTGGACTGGGCCAAGCCCTTGCTGAAGCGGCGGATGACGCTGCCCTGAAGGCGGGCGACCATCTTCGACACGGCGGCCTTGGCCTGGGAGGCCCTCCTCTTGGCGAAGTTCACTCCAGCAGCAAAGCCCCGGCTCACCCAGTTGGAGCCCGTCATCCTCTTGACAGGTACCTCGACTCCCCTTAGAACCTTAATAAAACATAATATGTCTAATATCATCTTGGGTTGTATATAACCAAGTATCTGAACAAAAATATCAAAAAGTAATTCCCAAGGGGGATATAGGTACCCGGGACAGCTCGGCGCCCTCCTTCACCATGCAGGCGAAGCTCTGCACGGACCTCACGATGTTCTTGGTGACCTCGTTCTCCGGGGCCGCGTCTGAGGCCTGGATGGCATCGCCGGCATCTTCCGCATCATCCTGGGGACAGCCGTGAAAAAAACAGTGGAGATGAGGGAAAAGTGTGGGCAGTGCGGCTCTGGTCATCCTATGCATGGGAGTTTGTTGTGGCTGTGCAAGAGTGTCATGTGCATTCTCGTATCCCTTCCCGCCCCCCCACGGCTCCTCATGCGACTCCTCCTCCTGCGACTCCTCCTCCTCCGGTTTCAAGGTGGTCTTACCCAGCACCTGAATTCGCCCCGCTTCCTCATGAAGGTTCAGCGCTTCACAGGCTGCTTGCAACTTGCCGGTGCCTGCAAAGCTCTTGCAGAGCTCAACAAGCTGAACTTTGGCTGCGAGGACGGTGTCCATCTTGATTTCTGCGGGCGACTTCTGAAGCACGTGCTTGGCACTTCTGTACATGACAAGCTTACACGGATTCGTCTGAGCCTTACCTGCCAAGGAGAAGAATGGAAGCTGCACATCCACGTGACTCCCATTCGCAAACGAAATCTTCATCGCATCCGTGAAGCCACGGAAGTCGAAGGCCCGAATCGAAGGCTCCTCGTCCTCCTGACTCGACAAGGCTGCACTCAAGGCATCCTCGGTACGGATCGCCCCCACCACACCACAGAGCGTGGCGGGGAGCACATATAGCAAGGCGTTCGAAGGCCTCATTTTGTTGTTGATCTGGCACACTACACTCGGCTGCTTGGGCTAAGTTCCTGCGGTTCAACAGCGGTTGACGACACTACTTGCAAGGATGCGCTCGCGGGGCTACATACCTTCAGAGACTATGTGGCTTTCTAACCTTCCACCATGCTATGCTGCCCGATGAGGGTGCCCGCTCCGCCCCTGTGGCGCTTTCACTCTGGCACGTTTCTGAATAAGGACCAGCCCGTTAGCTCCTGCAATGCTGCTGGCTAATGCTAGACACAGATATGCATATATACAGATATATATATATATATATGTATATATACCTCCAGAAGCACTCACCCACACTAAAGCTGAGCTTCACACGTCTTGCAATTTCTGTCGTTCGGCTGCGGTGATTGTTGCAGGGCACACCTGGAAGGTGGCCCTGTGCATTTGGGGGCGAAAGCCGAAGCATCTCTGCAAAGTGCAGGGCTCGAAATGGCTGATTCGCTCAGTTGCGGAAGAGGGGCCTGGGTGAAACGTTGCAAAAGGTATAATGGAAGCCTTCTTGTCTTAAAGCTGTGCTAAGTAGTGCTACAATAGAGCTACAGTAGTGCGAACAAATGAAACATAGTGCTAAATAGTGCTATTTGTGCAAACAGCGCCAAATACAAGTGCTAACTCGTGTAAAATAACCAAAAAACACAAAGAAACACATTCATTTAGGCACAAAACGGCCACACGACAACTTTGCAGCCAAAAGGGCCAAGACAAACAGGAACTACCTGCTCTCAGAGCTAGGTAGTGTCCCATCTCCAGCAATCATAGCTTGCAAAGCTTCCATGAAATTCAACCTAAGAGACGTGCAATGATTAACGATACTAAGGTGGGACCTATTATCGTCCACCGGAGCCGGAGAAAATTCGCAGAACCAACAATGAACCCCTGGTTCCATTCTCTGAGCTTTAGCTTTCGGAACTGAGGGGTGGTGAATCTTAATTCTTGAAACCACCCCCACACACTTGGTGGCTGGGCTGGCCCCAGGGGATGTCCATCTCTGTTGCGGTGGGAGTCACACACTGACATAGGGATCTTCCTCTGACCCTTTCATTTCAGCGGCGTACAATCTCGATGCCATAGTGCTGGGTCGCAGTTTGGCAGAAGGCCGATGGCTGGGCACTTGCTCCACTTGCCCAGCCAAGATGTGTTGGAGGTAAGTTGGCGCCGATACCTCGCGCAGAAGGTCCTTCGCTGTCTTTCGCCGGAAGTTCTGCACATCCAGCTTGGATCCTGCGCGAATTAGGGTGGCCGCTGCTTCAAAGTGCCCAGCAAGTATTGCAACCATCAGGGGGGTTGCGCCGTAGTGGTGATAGCCCAGGGTGCGCAGTCGTGTCGACTGCCGGAATCTGTACTGCATGCCCTTGATGCTGAAGAAAACCCACAGCATGCTGAACATTCGAGGGCGCAGCTGCTCATTCACATCGGCGCCTGCAGCAAGCAGCTTGAGGACCACCTGGTCAGAGTCTGCTTGAAGCAAGACTGCCGCGTGCAAGGAGCCGGACAAGTCCAGGGTGTGATTTGCCAAGGACAGCAGCATGTCCAGGGCATCAAGGGCACCCGCCGCACAGGCGTGCTGCAGGGCAGAAATGCCCAAGGCGTTTCGGACATTCGGACTCGCACGAGACTCACAAAGCAGCCGGATACCATCGGCATTGTTCCCGAAGCTGGCCAACACCAAAGGGGGAGGTGAGGCACCTTGCGTGTGGACCTCTGCCCTGGCAGCTATCAGTACCCTCATGGCATCGTTGTGTTTGAAGAAGGCACAGATGCCGAGCACTGAGACCTGATGCTGCAAACCCAACATCGGCTGAGGGCTCTTGGTTCTCTCATTTGGGCTGGATCTCCAGTCAAGCAGAGATTTCACCAAAGTTGCGTCTCCGTTCAAAGCAGCGTAGCATAAGGGAGACCATCCCCCTTCGTCATACTGGCGCACACGTGTGAAGCCATTCTGAAACATGAAGTGCGCCGCTGCATCTTGCCCGCACTCTGCTCGCTCATTGGCTTCGCAGGGGATGAGGTCACCGGTGGGCTCTTCACGCAATCCTCTGAAGAAAATGGCTTGCGCATTCAGCACCACGCGATAGCTGACTAAGTCGCCTTCCTGCAGATGCCGATGCATCCTCGCTTTCAGCATCTGCTTCACAACGCTGCCGATCCTAAAGCGATCTTCCTCGAAGGTGAAAGCCCCCTCACCCGGTGAGCATTCACATGCGGACGCAAAGGACGAAGCCGCCAACTCCACGTGCATGGCGCTTTTGATGATCACGCATGAGGCATCTCCAGCGCACTCCCGTGCCATCCTCTCCAGCCTACACCACCCCCTACTGCTCCAGCTCGAATATCCAAAAACCTCGTAGGGAGACTCAGTGACCGGGCACAGGACCAAAAGCAGGCTGCACGTGCTGATATATGCCGGGATACTCTCAATGGCCTTGGTGAGCTGGCTTTGGTCTTTCTCACAAGGCCCCGGGCTTTCTAACTGTGGGCAGGAAAAGTAATCGTACCAAACGTACATGTCATGGTGACTCAACTCCTCGGCATTTATAGCTTGCCATCGGCCAAAGAGTATTTCTGTCATCACGTCCGGACAGATCGCAGTCTGCTTCGACAAGATATTCCTCAAAGCATCCTGTAACACGCGAAACTGCCTGCAATCCGGATCGGGATGGTGCTGGCCCACCCATTGGTGTGAAACGAATGCTGCCCTTCCCATGCTTCCATCGAAAACGGAAAGGACCCCTAAAGACTTCAACTCCTCGTGCGGCTTTATCTCGGTCATTTGCAGGAGCGTGGCCATCGGCACCGTGTACATGGGGAATAAGGGTTTGACCTGTTGCAAGGCAGCCAGGCAATCCCCAACCAAATCCAAGACAAATCCCCAACCTGCTCCAGCCCCCTCTCTAGGCAGTGGACTACTAAGTCTACTACTAGTGGCGAAACTCTGTGGCTTCCCAACGCTTGCAATGGTCTGCAGCACGCGGCAGCAGACCCAGGCGTTTTCTTCACACAGCTTACACAAGGGGTTTTTGGCTTGGGGTGCAGCTGCTGTGTGCAGCCCACCTCTGACGGCGACGGCTGCTTCCGCAGTGACTGAGCATGCCGCAGCAGCGCTGTGTCCGGTGTGGACCGCGCCCAGCACCGCATGGCGCTGGATGCTACGCAGAAAAAATGATGTGATACCCCGTTGAATACGAAGGTTGGAGCAAAGTAGCCTTGGAAATGAATCTGGGGACTGGGCTGCTTGACACTCTGACGGGTTATGCTCCACCACCCTGGAAAGCCAAGCGCCAGCCAAGTTAAGCCAAGTATGCTGACGCCGCCCCAAAAAAAAACACCCTGCCCTCATGACTGCGAGCATTCGAGCAGGGCGCACTTTTCCTCATGCGGACAGGAAAATCACACGGCGCCCTTCCAAAGGCTTAAGTGCAGAATCGACATGCAGGCAATGCAGGCTTACAGGCTGGTTCTGGCGTTGCCTTCTGATGGCCTCCCATCCATTACCTGCGAGAAACCGAATCATAGCAATGGACCAGTTCGCTTGACTTTCATGATCATGGGATCATGGGATCATGGGATCATGGGATCATGGGATCATGGGATCATGTCGCCTTTCTACACACAAGCCTCTGGAATGAGCCAGAGCTCGCACAGCTCCGGAACCCAAGCTAAAGCCCCAAGGGTCTACCACGTCACTGCGCTTTCTTCGTCTCCTTCTCCTCCTTCTCAGGAGCTGCAGCCAGTGCTGCCTCCAGCTTTGCGATGAAGACCTTCGTCTCGGCGTTGGTGCCGCCACTCTCCTATTTCAGCTCCCCCCCCCCCCCCCCCCCCCCCCCCCCCCAAAAAAAAATGCCATCCCAACCTTTAATCACCCTCACACCCTAAACCCTAAACTTTAGCCCTAAACCCTAAACCCTAACCCCGGCGTCCTTCTTGCAAAACTCCCGGAAGGCTTCGATGGAAGGGAAAGGCCCCTTCGCCTCCTCGAAGCTCTTGCCAAGATGTTTCCTTGGACATCTCTCGCAAACCGATTTTTCCCTCGAGGGTTTTTTTTCCCTCCTGCACAGCTGGGGCGAATCGAGGGTTTAGGGTTTTGGGTTTAGGGTTTAAACTTAAGACCCCCCAAGAGCCTTCTGCCCCCTGGTTCTGCAATGGGAATGAGGGTATGAGGGCCCCATAGAAAAAAAACCCTTAGAGGATTTTGTGGGGCCCTCATTCCCTCATTCCCTCATTCCCTTCTGAGAACCAGCCAGTCGATAAAAGCCCCAACTGCCCCAACGGAACTCTCATCGAGCTATAGAAGAGGACCTTATATCTTGAGCGTACAAAGCTCTTCAAAAGAGAGGCAAAAGAGATGTCCCTGTCTTTCTCGACTGGAGCAGCTAAGCTTCTCAAGGTTTGCAGATTGCCAGGCCTCAGCAAGTTACCCAAAAGGGTGCAGCTCATGATCTCGGGATGCCTAGCCTGCCACCCAGGCATTCAGCCTGGGTGGACCGCACATGGTTGGGCTACTTCCGGTGCGATGCCGCATCGCCGGCTCGCGCAAGATTCGAGCATTGCGAAATTGCGGGCAGTAGCAAGGTGGCACAAGGGGGGCCTGCGTAGAGTAGCGAGATCCAAGGGCCCGAGCTGCAGATCAAGGTTGGATTCTGATAGCTCGCTATTCCTCAAGATTACCCCGCCTCTTTGTCAAGGGAATCGCTTACCTTCACGGTCTGGTAGAGCTTTTTCTGCTTGCCTTCGAGCTCGTCCATGAGATTCAAGGTGACCTTAACTGCGAACCCCAGATGTTGAAAAACAAATCATGCTGCATTCCACCATTCCCGGCATGCTCTTGGGAGGAAGCAAACAAACACTTGCCGAACAATGCGGCCAAGCGACCCTCATGTACGGATACATGATGAACCGCACGTGTAGGCACTGAATGATCATGCATGTGCACGCGAGGAAGTTCGGTGCAGTTCGCGACAGGTATGTGGTGGCTGAAGCATCAAAGAGTGCCGCGTAGACAGGGCCGATGCCCATACCGAGGACGTACCCGATGATCCACTGAACGCTTTTGAACCGTGCGATCTCATCCGGGGTGGAGAAGCCTTCGCAGAGTTCGGAAATCTCCAACTTGCAGAAATCTGGCATTTGGCCTATCACAAGGTACCACTAACCAAGCTTTCAATGACATCCTGGCATGCTTCTACACGTTGCCCTCTCGCCCATCCCAAAAATTTGGTTCTCCTAGGTGATTTTTGTTGGAGCAGCGAGAGTCCACGTACTCCTTCAGGGGCATGAAGCCGCCGATGACCGTGAACGCCAGAAGCATCGCCAGGGCAGCGGAGTCGGAGACCGCAATGGTCAGGTTCAGAAGAATCAGGACGCTGTAAAGGTACACTAGACATACCTGAGGGGGTTACGAAAATGGTGGGACCCCTATATAGACGCTCAAAAAGATAGTAGGATCCCCTGCTAATAAGGATCTCAGTAAGGTACCCCCTAACATCGGCAAGACCCCACCTGGTCGGCAGTGTGAACTAAACCTAAGGGTCCTTGAGCTAAGGGCTGGTGAGACAAAGCAAGACAAGAATTCCTACCAACAGCAGCAGGGAGACGGCCATCATGGTGGTGTAGCCGAGCCTTAAGCAAAGCCTCGGAACCACGCCCAGAAACACGAGGAACATGGGCTGTATCAGGATCAGCATTGTCACTGCACTCCTTGGTTGCTCCAGAGTATCGCTAGCTAGCATTGCTAGCACATGGCTGCTCACTTCCTCCGGCTACGCAGGATCCTCGGAAAACAGAATCGTCTCATTTCTTTTGGTACGATGATTCCTTGTCTAAGTACGCATACAGCACCCCATTCCATCATGTAGCGCTGCAACGCGGTCTATTCTTCGAGCTGATGTTCTGCTTGCTCTATCAATCAGACAGGACTTCGACGACTATTTTGAAAGTGATGCCTACTCGAGAACTGCCGCATATTGTAGCTTTGATTCTGAGACCACCCGTGGTAAGCCATGAGCTCAATTGGGATCATTCCAACGATGTGCAGCCAGCAGGGTTCGATGCACACCATGAGCCTCAACTCCCAGCACGCAAAGCACGCGTTGTATCCCTGACACGCTTCAAACGATGGGCGCTGTGCCAGATATACGACTTGGGGCAGCGCGACAACGCAGCAAGACGCCCGACTTCCACTAGACTCTTGTGTGGTCAAAAGGGAGCCCAGGGGCAGAAATCGCCAAGACAAGGGGTTGTAGTAGACATCTTTGTAGGAAAGCACCTCGTGCACCACCTCGGCTCAACATGGTTCACAAACCTGAAGCTCCCTGACGGCCTCAGCCGTTTAAGCCATGAAGTCACAGCACCTCCTAAGCAACCGCCCCAAACACAGAAGCTGACACCATAGATTCGGAATGATTTCCCCCAGCTCTGAATCCCAACATGTAATGCGAACAGAGAGAGAGAGAGAGAGACACACACACACACACACACACATATATATATATATATAGATATATATGGTACCCCCCCCCCCCCCCAAAGATCCACCCTTTTTCCTCTTTTTTTCTCTGTTGAGGTGTTGCTGCTGTGTTGTTACTGTGTTGGTTTCCTTTTTGTTATGTTTTAGTAGCCCCGACACATGATAATAAACGACACACGACACCAGTACCTTTATTTACTTGACCGAGGCCCCGCGAATTTAAAACCGCATTTAAAAATTTAAGTTAAATGCGGACCAGCCCCCTGGAACCAAGAACCAAGAACCGAGATGCCCAGGACTCTTGATTCTGGAATCTTGGTTCCTGGGGGGGGGGGTCCGCATTTAACTTAAATTTTTGAATGCAGTTTTAAATGCGGCCCAGCCCCAGGAACCAAGATTCCAGAATCAAGAGTCCTGGGCATCTTGGTTCTTGGTTCTTGGTTCCTGGGGCGCATTTAACTTAAATTTTTAAATGCAGTTTTAAATGCAGCCCAAGGAACCACGAACCATGATGCCCAGGACTCGTGATTGAATATTGGTTCCTGGGGGGGGGGGGGGGGGGGTCCCGCATTTAAACTGAATTTTAAAGCAGTTTTAAAGCAGCCCCAGGGAACTAAGAACAAAGAACCAAGATGCCCAGGACTCTGATTCGGGAATCTGGTTCCTGGGGGGGTTGGGGGGGGGGGGGGGGGGGCTGCATTTAACTTAAATTTTTAAATGCAGTTTTAAATGCAGCCCCAGGAACCAAGAACCAAGAACCAAGATGCCCAGGACTCTTGATTCTGGAATCTTGGTTCCTGGGGGGGGGGCTGCATTTAACTTAAATTTTTAAATGCAGTTTTAAACGCAGCCCCAGGAACCAAGATTCAAGCATCAAGAGTCCTGGGCATCTTGGTTCTTGGTTCTTGGTTCCTGGGGGGCGGTCTGCATTTAACTTAAATTTTTAAATGCAGTTTTAAATGCAGCCCCAGGAACCAAGATTCAAGAATCAAGAGTCCTGGGCATCTTGGTTCTTGGTTCTTGGTTTCTGGGGGGGGGGTCTGCATTTAACTTAATTTTTTAAATGCAGTTTTAAATGCAGCCCCAGGAACCAAGATTCGAGAATCAAGAGTCCTGGACATCTTGGTTCTTGGTTCTTGGTTCCTTGGGCTGGTCCGCATTTAACTTAAATTTTTTAATGCAGTTTTAAATGCAGCCCAACCCCAGGAACCAAGATTCCAGAATCAAGAGTCCTGGGCATCTTGGTTCTTGGTTCTTGGTTCCTGGGGCGCATTTAACTTAAATTTTTAAATGCAGTTTTAAATGCAGTCACGTCTCGGTTATGGATTATTAGCATTGGGCTGCGAAATTTTCCAATGCAATTTTACATATAGGAAACCCCTAAACTTACCATCTGCCACACTACATGATAAAACCTGGGAGTCACCGACTCATTTCCTCTCCGTCATCTATCTCTTGGAGTCACTGCCTCGCTTACAAAACTCTTTCGGGTTAAGCAATTAAACCCAAACCCTTAACTGTTAAACCCTATATGGTTAAGGTTTAAAGGTTTAGGGTTTAAGCTGTAGACATTTACACATAAGTCGGCAACTAAACCTAAATCTTTAAGCTTTGAACCCTATAGGTTCAATGTTTAAAGGTTTAGGGTTTAAGATTTATAAGCATTAAAACCTAAGCCCATAGAGTCCAAACCTTAGGGTTTAAGGTTGAGGCATTCAAACCTTTTGGGGTCTAAACCCTAAAACCCTATAGGGCCCAACAAGGCTCCAAGGTTTTAATCCCACAGGCGCTGAAGGTCTACATGCCCAGACCTTAGGTTTGTAAACCATTAAACCCTATAGGGTTTAAAGGTTTAGAGTTTTTTGCAGGATTTATCTCTAGCACCATCACGAGCTTAACCCTATAAGGGCTTAAGCCCTATAGGCTTAAGGTTTAGGCAGTATCTAGGCGTAGAACCTTATAACCTTGTGATTTAGGCATTTAAACCTAAGCCCATTTAGGTTTAAGGTTTAGGCATTTAAACCTTAGCCCTAAGCTCTTTAGGGTTTGAAGCCTAAAACCCTACAGGGCCCAAACTCAAAGGTTTTAACCCTATAGGAGCTGAAGGTAGACATGCCCAAACCTTGGGCTTGTAAACCATTGAACCCTATAGGTTTGAAAGGTTTAAGGTCTTTTCAGAGTTTATCTCTAAAACCGTCACGGGGTTGGCCCTATAGGGTTTAGAAGTTTAGACCCTAGAGGGTTTACAGGTTTCGGGTTTAAGGTATAGGCATTGTCTATAGGAGTAGAACCTTATAACCCTGGAGGGTTTGAGGCTTACATCTCTAAACCTCAAATCCCGGGTTATGCCCATGTTTGCAGGGCTTGCCTCATGTGAAAATGCAAAGATAAAGTAGAAGAAGTATCCACATCATGTATGTATACAGGGTATAAATATTGTATATCAAACACAGATAATGGAGAAGGCATGGGTGATGCGAAAAAAAATCATCTGCTGTAAGTCCCGGGGACGCGAGAATACTGTGAGCAATTATCTTTTCACTCTTCCCTGAGACCGCCTGAAGTTTTTTTATAGATACTTTACGGTTGCATTTGTGTTTTTCGGGGGTGCTTCAGGTGGTTGTGTGCCGTTATATCTATAGCGAGGGTTTAGGGTGGTTTTGAGTGAAAGACTAGTGAAAGGGGTACGTACGCCGAAAGGTTTTGCTTAGATCCTCTACTGATATATTTGTGTTTTTCAAGATGTTTCAGGTGGTTGTACGTCTCGTCAGGAGAAACGAGAAAACATGCTACGGGAACTGTGTTGTATATTGAAAGTCTCTAAAACGGTGGAAAATCTCTAAAACGGTGGATCTTTGAGGGGGGGGGTAGCATATATATATATATATATGAATATACAAATATGAATATATAAATATATATATATATACATATATACATATATATATATATATGAGAGAGGGACCTTTAGGGTCTATTTTGCGTCGTGGCTGTTGTTAGTACTATGAATAATAATTAAATTAATTTAAATAATTAAATTAATTAAATTCAATAAAGAATACTGAATGTGAAAAAATTGAGAAAATAATTTAATTAATTTAATTAATTGAACTGATTGACCAATTAAATTCATTAAATTAATTGAATTCGAAGAAATTAAGAAAATAATTTAATTAATTTAATTAATTTAATTGACCTACAATTAAATTAATTAAATTAATTGAATTCGAAGAAATTGAAAATTTAATTAATTTAAATTAATTAATTTAATTAATTTAATTGTCGGATAGATTCTTTATTTGATCCTCAGGAAACACCTCAAAAAATAATTCAATTAATTTAATTAATTTAATTAATTTAATTAATTTAATTAACCTACAATTAAATTAATTAAATTAATTGAATTCGAAGAAATTGAAAAAATAATTTAATTAATTTAATTAATTTAATTCACCTACAATTACATTAATTAAATTAATTGAATTCGAAGAAATTAAAAAATTCATTTAATTAATTTAATTCACCTACAATTAAATTAATTAAATTAATTAAATTAATTGAATTAATTGAATTATTTTTCGAGGTGTTTCCTGAGGAGTGACCCCTTCAATTCCAGTTTAATTGTCGGATAGATTCTTTATTTGATCCTCAGGAAACACCTCAAAAAATAATTCAATTAATTTAATTAATCTAATTAATTTAATTAATTTAATTAACCTACAATTAAATTAATTAAATTAATTGAATTCGAAGAAATTGAAAAAATAATTTAATTAATTTAATTAATTTAATTCACCTACAATTAAATTAATTAAATTAATTGAATTCGAAGAAATTAAAAAAAATAATTTAATTAATTTAATTAATTTAATTAATTTAATTCACCTACAATTAAATTAATTAAATTAATTAAATTAATTAAATTAATTGAACTATTTTTCGAGGTGTTTCCTGAGGAGTGACCCCTTCAATTCCAGACCAATTAAATTAATTAAATTAATTGAATTCGAAGAAATTGAAAAAATACTTTAATTAATTTAATTAATTTAATTAATTTAATTGTCGGATAGATTCTTTATTTGATCCTCAGGAAACACCTCAAAAAATAATTCAATTAATTTAATTAATTTAATTAATTTAATTAATTTAATTAATTTAATTAATTTAATTAACCTACAATTAAATTAATTAAATTAATTGAATTCGAAGAAATTGAAAAAATAATTTAATTAATTTAATTAATTTAATTCACCTACAATTACATTAATTAAATTAATTGAATTCGAAGAAATTAAAAAAATAATTTAATTAATTTAATTATTTTAATTAATTTAATTCACCTACAATTAAATTAATTAAATTAATTAAATTAATTGAATTATTTTTCGAGGTGTTTCCTGAGGAGTGACCCCTTCAATTCCAGACCAATTAAATGAATTAAATTAATTGAATTCGAAGAAATTGAAAAAATAATTTAAGTAATTTAATTAATTTAATTAATTTAATT